TCGATTTTCGACCAATCCATATTATGGTACAGTTTTGTCGTGTTTGAAGTCATATTTCAAGTTTGTCACATAGAAATTTCGCCCAAACTTGCACGGATTATCTGTCTTATAGCCATGTAACTATCTGGAAAGTTTAAAGAAAATCTATCAGTTTGATCTCGAAATATATGCCTGTGTTCCGTTAGAAACCGCCAATTTGGAGATATTTTCTTGTGTTTGAAGTCATATCTTAAGTTTGGCACATAGAAATTCTCCAAAACTCGTACACATTATCCGTCATATACCCATGTAATTATCTGGAAAGTTTAAAGAAAATCTATTGGTCAGATCTTGAGAAAATCGAAAATATATTCTAAGTTATTCACTAAAACACTCGATTTTCGACCAATCCATATTCATGATATTATGGTACAGTTTTGTCGAAAGTCCCTCTGAATTTCGGTAACAAATTAGGACTTAATTTGAGTTTACTGCACGCGCGATGAATAATTTGTGTTTATAGAGATCTGCGGCGCGTTATCAGTTAACCAATGAAATCACGGCGTTTTCGTCACGTGACAGTCGAGTGTAGAGTGATTAATTATCATCCTTAATTTTGCTCAAAATCATACTTTTCAGGATAATTCAAAATCTACGTTGTCCCAAATTGTGCTCCTGGGGAGTTAACTTTTATATAGTTATACGGGACGGACATTTTGTTGAAAACCAGAACTTTCTATATATTTCTTTTACTTCCTAAATTAGGCCCTTAATGGTAAAGTTTTTTGGGGATGTTATTTGTTATTATACTCGTCTAAATTTCTTCGAAGTAGCGCGCGCCGTTTTCTTCTGGCCCGATGGCAAGTGCTACGAAGTAGCGCGCGCCGGGCCAGACCATTAACAATGGACAAGTTTCACTAGGTCGTTCTTACGATAGGGGGTGCACGATAAAAATAAACTTGCTCGGATTTTAAAAATTTTTGTACCACTGTTTTCTAGAGACTGTGAGAATTTTCACAATACCAAATTTGTTATACCTTTTTGGAAAGATCAGTGAGTTTCGCCTAGGTGCCATATTTGATGGTGCGCGGCTTTTGGAGCAAAAGTAGCTGTATAAGTCGCGTAATTTGACCAAATTCGTCCAAATTTGACCATTTTTGTCGTATTATTCGGATATATCTTCAGTTCCTTAAATGAGATCATTCTGGAAATTGGCGACAACCTCCCAATAGAGCTTTCACAACTGTCCGAAAAATTTGGTGGATATCGGAGTTGATATAGTGATCAAAATGGGGCAAAATACGCTGCTTTTAACTGTAACACTTTCCTTGTAAGTCTATGAGTAAGCTTACCTATTTTTGTTGCAATTGGATTAACGGGTGATACTCGTAAAATATCTGTTCCATATATTGGACCGTCGACGAGTCCAACTCGGCGCGCGTCCTGGTAGGTTGTAAACCTACAACAATTGGAGGTCGGGAAGGATACTAAATATTTATTTGTTTGAAGAAAATTGTGCTGGCCGAAATTAGCGCTAAAAAACCATCCTACAGTCGGCACGCGCGGCTCACTGTCGATCATGGCGCACTACCTACTTACGATACAGGGGAGCCGCGCACTCGTGCGTGGCGGGTCATACAACGTATGACAAATATATTACTGGCTGCGAGTTTTACTAAGGATTACCGCGTACTTTTCACAGCGAGTTCATTTTTGCACGTGAGTTTAAATTACACGCGTGATGCATTGCAAGCTTCACGCGACGCAATATTTCAGTCTATTAGAAGAAAATAATTTGCAAAGTAAGTAAAGTTGAAGCTGCCATTTTTTATTCGGCCCAAAATGAAACTTTTCGGGATAACTGAAAATTTAAATTGTATCAAATTTCCCCTTGGAAGAAAAATAAAAGCGAAAATTTTGCAAGAAACCCGAAGTCCCTATTTTTACTTTTGGAGATAGGTCCCAGCTATTGACCATTGTTAATGGTCTGGCCCGGCGCGCGCTACTTAGCTTCGAAGAAATTTAGACGAGTAACATCCGTCAACCCCAGCTAATAAGCTATTGACCATTGTTAATGGTCTGGCCCAGCGCGCGCTACTTAGCTTCGAAGAAATTTAGACGAGTAACATCCGTCAACCCCAGCTAATAAGGTTATTTGGGTTTCTTTGCTATAAAATGATACTTCAAATTTTTCGCGTCATTTCCATTAATAATATAATGATAATTGTAAAATGTTTATTTCAAATCACAAATGTTTGTTTCAAATATTCGAGACCGTCTTGTATCACGTCGTGACCCCCAATGTCGTTTAACTGTAGAGATTCTACGATTCAGGCTACATCTGTTGCTTGAAACAAGATTGAGACCGGATCTATATCTGCTAATTATAAACATCCCCGATCCATAATCAGTCAAACCACTTGTTACTTAAAAAGCTTTTATGGTGTCCCCACATATTCGCCGCTCTGCCAGCGTTTTCAAATTGAGGATTATCAGTCTACGTCTGTAAGGAAGAGCGCAATCTTAGGGGGGGGGGGGGGCCGGGGTGCCAAATCGTCGTTTGAATGTGGGACAATTTCGAAAAACTTAACTCCGGTACTAGCAAAACTGCACGTTTTGCTTTATAGAAACATACTTTTTTAGAGATTTTACCGGCGTATCCTCTAAAATGATCTAATTTGTTTAATTTTAGATAGGGGTGCCAAAAGGGGAGGGGCGCCAACAGGGGGCACTTCTTCAGCAGGGGACGCCAACAGGCAAAGTTACGCCACTGATTCTTTGATCTGTTCGTTCCAAAGTAGGGAGCTATGGGTAATAACCCCCAAATCTTTTTCCTTTGCAGATACTTCAAGTTCTATACCATTTACTTTAGCTCCCGTCACCTACTAACTACTAACTACTAACTACCATTTACTTTATAGTTTAAAATAGGATTGCTGTTAAAATTAATATGCACTACTTTGCACTTGGCAGGATTAAATTGTAAAAGACAAATACTTTCCCAAACTTCTAATTCTTCGATATCTTCAGTACTCTCGACCCACTTAGTCCACATGCCTTGCAAACAAAAAACTTATAGCAGGGTATTTGTAATGGTCTAAGTCCCTTATACACGCCAAAAATGCAATGGTTCCTCTATACTCAACCGTAGGAGAAGAGAATTAGGTGACTGTATTTTGTTCTAATGTTGATATTAATTAGTATGTTCTAGTTGTTACAGTAAACGACCGGGGGTAGGATTTGGCCGGGCCGGGGCCGGGAATGTCCAAATTTTGCCGGGGCCGTGAATTTAATTATTTATTAAGATTTAAGGATTTAGGTGGAATATCGTAATTGTAAAAACTATCAGAGGTTACAAATACAAAGGACTGCTCTTGAAAGTTGGCACTCTGGACATCATCCTTTCAAAATTGAAAATCCATTTTGAGATTTATATGAAAGTTTTAGGCCGATTTCGATCAAAAATTCCCAGCCAAATTCCGGGCAAAAATTGAAAATCGGCCGGGGCCAGGGCCAGGAAGAAATAGCTCCCCCCGTGCCGGGATTTTACGGCGCCGGGAATCCCGGTCGATTACTGAGTTGTTACTCCTTTTGTTTTAACGTTTTTATGGTACTCTCCTTAAATTATTTTAATGCAGTCACTCAGATTTTAAATCAGGACACTTCAACAAAGACACATACTCTGCCCACAATAAGGGGCCATAATTTTTAAATTATGTAACAGTATAGAATTATTATTATTATTATTCAGTAACACTACTGTGGATAGAATAGAGATTCGGCGGAATGACAGGCTGAGCGCCGCCCAGTAACCCATTTTTATGTAAAACGTTTTGTTCGGCTACAAAATCAAATAACCAAAGTCACCTTTAATTTAAAGGCGAGCAAATTAATATAAACCCATTTTCACTGGGTTATTTTTTTACTTTTTTTACTTTTTACATATATACTTATGAAAATCAAGCATTAAATAAGAAAGTTAGGTAAAATGAAATGTTATGTTTTGTGTTTGTAACAATTATTATTAGCGTTGTGGCGCCAAGCGTGATGCACTAATGGGCCGCGCTGCGCATCCAATATGTATTACGAACACAAAGTTGGAAACAAAAATTGTTGTGCTAAATTTTGGTGCTTCTCAGTCCAATGCAATTAGTGAATATCATTCAAGCAATGTCAACCTATATCTAATCTATTTAAAGAGTGACAACCATACTGCACATTGAATTAGAATTCCGTTAAATATCAAATTGATTTATTGTAAACTTGTTTAATCTGTAATAAATGGCATAAAATTGAAATTTTTGTTTAACTGAAATTTTTGTTTAACTGAATGTTGTTATAAGTTCAGATTGGATAGAATTAAACTAAACAGGTTATTTTTGTTCACGGTCTATTTCGATAGATTAAGTAAAAAGAATACAGATAAACTTTAGCTTTGTGAAGCATACTATTCGTTTAACATTTAAATTAGAGTTAGCAATATTGGGTCTGATGTTAGAGGAAAAGCCAATTTTATGCCAATTACTTTAGAATGTTGCTACAAAGTGGAATATAAATGTTACTAGAGCAAATATTTTTCTTTAGTGAGAATGTCTCACTAAAGACTCCAAGATTATTATTAGAGTTCACCCACCTCGAAAAGTAAGGGGTCCTGTCGAAAGTTCCTGAATATTGCAAAATTTCAGCACACATACATTGAAGTGTACTGGCACGTATATTGATTATAATTACTGTAATTAACTGTTGTTTTTAGTATATCAGTACAAACTAGAATAAAGTTTGTTGATGCCAGTTCCGTTTGTTTCTGGGTTCAGTTTGCTTGCATGGCCCCAACTGTGCAATAAAAAACACTTGCACATTGGGCCACGTGTAGTATGGGCCTGCACTGAAATTAGACAGGGTTACTTTAAAAATTAATTCTTTGAAAAGGTAGTATGAATATATCTGAACTTACTATGTATTACTGCAGAAATTGATAAGACTTTATTTCTTTTGAATTGTATTCATGTAAATTCAAATTCAGGAAGCTATGCCTGAGGATAAAGAAGCAGCTGATGATCAGAAAGATCCCTTTGCCCTGAACATATCTTGGTGTTTTGGGTTCAACAAAGAGGTCGGAGTCCAGAATATATCTCCAAACAGTAGCAAGAAGTTAATTCTGTATGCGGCTGGTCACACTGGGATCATTTATGATTTTGTTAATAACACTCAGACCCTGTTACAAGGTCACACATCGAACATAACCTGTATAGCTGCAAGTGGAAATAAACGATGGGTTGCATTAGGAGACAATGGGCCTGACAACATGATTTCCATATGGGACACAACGTCTGGAACACCTATACGAAATATCTTTAATGTTGGTGGTGTCATGTCTTTGGCTATTAGTAATGATGCTCGTTATGTTGCTATGATCAGTTCTCTCAACAATGAATTCATTATTTGGGATTGGACCTCTGAAAATGATGAACCTTTGTTCAGAAAAGAACTTGATGCAAATCCTCAAACATTTCTAACTTTCAACCCTGAAAATTCATCAGAGCTGGCTTCCAACAGTCTCCATGAAGTAATCTTTTACCATTTTGATGACAAAAATCTTACTGTGCACATTCCGGATTTACCTGAAAAAGATTTTAACAAGCCAATTGGTAACTTCAGTCAGACTGCATTTAAAACTGGATCAACAGAAGCCTTAGCAGGCAGCAAAGATGGTTCTGTTACAGTATTTGACAATGATGGATTAGCAGAAAACGGTGCATACAAAAAGGTGCTTAAACTTGTAAAACTCATTGATGATCCAATTACAGTGGTCACCAACTTTGATGATTTGGTAGCTGTAGGCAGCAAAGACGGTGCTGTAAGATTTTATGATTCTCAGCTGAGGATTAAAAATTGGTATGGAACATTTGATTCAGGACGTGTCGACTCGATTTCATTTGCTTGCAACGACAAAAATTCTTCAGAGAGTGATGAAAATATCAAAGCTATGCCTGCTGAATCGACATTAAATGCTCAACCATTTGTAGTAACTGATTTCACAATAAGCACTGACGAATCCATCATTTGCCATGTACCAGCAAAAACTAACCAAGTCAAGAAGTTACTCCAGGAGCATGATGATGCTGTTAAAGCAATCGATACACACCCTGTCTCCAATTACATTGCTGTTGGGAGTTACTGTGGACTGCTCAAGATATGGGACTATATTGAAAAATCAGAGGTCAACTCTCGTGCTTTTGGACTTGGAAACGAGATCACTGCAATGAGCTACGACAAAGTCGGGGAGTTTCTTGCTGTTGGATTTTATGATGGTACTATTCTGATACTTGATAGCACAACTCTGGAGACAATATCTGGAGGTGAATTCAGCCATGCAAAAGCGCTTATAACCCAACTTGCCTTTTCTCATGACAGCATTTTCTTAGCAGCAACTGATCTTGATGATACTACAACACTTATTAAAAGAGCCAGTGATTCTGAAAACGAGTGGAACTACATCGGTCGCAACAAGGCTCATTACAAGTCCATAGTCAACATCATATTTGGCATTGCCTTGGATTCTAACGTACCAAGACTTTTGACTTTGGGAATGGACAGGAATTTAGTAGAATATGATATTCTGAACAGCACAGAAGACAACCTGATTGTGATGAGCACAGACAAAATAGAACAAAGTGCAACTCCAGTATCATGTGCTTGGTATCCTCCAATCAATAAAGAGCATTTCTTACTCGTGGCTAATTCTGAGTACAAGTACAAATTATTGAATGCTACCACTAAAAGATGCAGGAAAACTCTTCTTGGGCCAACTCATGGATCACACATACAGAAAATCGTAAATCTTGCTTATCCTGAGGTTTGTGCTATGCATTATTCTTTTATTCGAATATTAGACTAAACATTTTGAGCTAATGTTTTTGCAATAAACGACTTTAGTGGATTTCAAATCATTTTCACACAGTTGGTCAATCAGAATAATCAAACTTGTTTCAGGACAAGCACTACATAGCGTTTATAACAGAAGATAAGATAGGGATGACGACTCTGGCACTGGATGGCAATCCCCACAACACTACAGCATTACTGGCCCACTGTGACGGTGCAAGCAATATAGTTGCCTGTCCTAATAGCAGATTCCTCTTCACTGTTGGAGGAAAGGTATGTAACGCAACACAGCAATTTACTATAATAACCAAGTTATATATGAAGATTTTGAAGTTAGATTGTGGGAGATGTAATAAGGATCGATAGTAAGAATTTAAAGTCATGCAGGACCTGCTCAAACCAATTTGACTAAATCAAACTAATTTCGCAACTAATTACTACGTCATGTTCATTGTTCAAGTTAGTACTCTTGTTGCGTTAATATATAATATCAAGATGTCAATATTCTACTGGTCATATCATTATATTATGTCAAATTTAACAATAGCCTCGTTCACTGATTCATAACATTTGTCCGGCAGGTCTGTAGAATGTGGGAAGTGAACCCTGATGTGCTGCATGCCACAGCTGCTCTAGGTGGAAGTGGTCTGGAACCTTTCTACCAACTGTTGGAGGGAGGAAAAGAGGGGCCCCTGGCTAAGGAGATGGAAGAATACTTCTATTACTCTCAAATGAGGAGCCAGTCTGTAGCTACCACAAAACATAGAAAGGTTAAACTAATCGGTTTATTACTCTACAAAAACATGTTTTCAACTGGATTAATGTATACTTTTAAATAACCACTTTTGCTTTTAAATAACCATTTATTTCATCTAGGTGGGCCAGCATGTTGCATTGGAGGAAGTCCCAAACATAATGCGTGCACTGGGTTTCTACCCCACTGAGCTTCAAGTACAAGACATGATCAACGAAGTGAAGTTCTCTCAGTATGTTGATACTGGAAAAACGGTCGGTCTTATATTGTTATTTGCTTTCATTTCTAAAATTTCTAGATGGGGACCGAATTAGCTCGAATATTGTAGCTTACAGTGGAAAAGTAATAAAAGTAAAATAATTGAATCATCATTAATGTAACCTAATATAGTTAGACATAATATTGTCTAATAATATTGTAATTGTCAGGTATCTGAAATAGATCTTGAGACCTTGATAAAACTGTACTGCAACCACCGCCCCGTCTTTGGGTTGCCCCTCTACCAAGTCTACGACGCATTCAGTACGCTGGCTGGCGCTGATAGTGACGGTCGAATAGATCGAGGTAACATTTACTGTACTCAATCGAACAAGCAGCAAGCACATGATGTGAAAATTATAATGAATTGCATAGTGATATCAAGCAAATACCACAGCTTAGTACACATATATCATTATCCCACAGTGGGGAGACTTCTAATTAATTGATTAATTGCTCCACCCTAAACTTGCTATGGTTGGCAAATTATCAAAATTTAAATATGTTAGGTACTGGTATGTTAGCTATGTAAGTTATCTCAGCTATCTTAGCTATCTTAGCTATCTTAGCTATCTAGTCTATCTTAGCTATCTTAGCTATCTAATCTAGATCTAAGCTATCTAATCTATCTTAGCTATCTTAGCTATCTTAGCTATCTTAGCTATCTTAGATATCTAAGCTATCTTACAACCCAGGAAGCTAGATGTTTAATCAACAACCTACAACAAATTTTCTTACAGGTCTGTTACTTTCACTGCTGCAAAACAAAGGAGAACACATCTCGGAGCCGGAACTGGCAGAATACCTAGCTTCTCTGCTAGAATTACACGGCAGTGCCACCAACAAGGAAGACAAGATGGCAGTGGTTGTTGCTTCTGAGGCTGGGACCACTCTGGAGAGAGTCTTACCGGAGATAATAGATGCGGACATGTTCACTGGACACGTGTTAGGGTTCATGCCCGCTGCTATTGCTGAGTGAACCGGGTTAGACACCGAACTGTTCTTATATAGTTGATGTTGAAAGTCAAGTCCTGTTGAAATTGGATGATGTACAGACTAATTTACCGGCACGTCATAATTTCTCCCAAGTTATGAGGTCGAACAGTATAGTTGCCACCACAGACTAATTTATCAGTTGGGTCTTTTACGAGTACTAATTTATTTAATAGGGATGATCTCTGTATTCTAAAGATTTTGATATGGGGTGTATGGTTTGACTCAGAATAAAATAATACTTATGTTTTTTCCACCATTATGAAACCTATAAAAGCAGATTTTGGTGCCGGCGAAATTTGGTGCCAGCATTATTTCAATTTTAAATTATTGGAAGATTTCAGATGTACATAATAATATGTAAATGGAATGTAATTGATCACACTGTTTTAGATATCCTTGCCTTTTCAATTTTCTTCACAATTTGTTCAATCTAAAATTCTTAATTGCAGGCATTTGAATTTTTGACTTTCTGTGGATTGCAATTATAATTTTCTATTTGTTTTTTGATTATATTTAATTCTTTGCATGAATAATACAGTTATAAACATTTAACAACTCCTATCAGTCAGGCTATGGCAGTAAAAAGAGCCAGCAGCCATGTCTCAGCCCTGGCTAGCAAAGAATTAGCTCCCATCCCCGTGAAACCCACAAACCCCTTCAAAATTCCTCCAGAGAATGAGATATTCCAGCTCCGTGATGCTGAACGGCAACGCAAGAAGTCCGACAGAGAGAAGCAACGAGCATTGCGTGTCCACGAGAAAACAACGTATGCCCACCAGATGCGTGCGAGAACTCTAAAAGCTCGCCAGCCGTTTGGAGATGCGGATCTGGATGGCGCTGCTTTGGAGGACACCAAGGATCAGATAATAGGACAAGATGATCCGTTACAGTTGGCAACTAGAGACAGGAACGTTGAAAAGGAGGATCTGGCCAGCTTTGTCGCTAAAAAGCGGGAGATGTTCCTCGTTCAGTACTCCCTGGGTGTCAAAAGGGACGAAATGAGGAAACTCGAGGAGATTGCTCAGGCCGAGGAGAGGAAACTCGAGAAAGCTGAACAGTTCTTAGAGGAGGATGCCATGATGTTTGACGAGTTCTTGAAGGAGAACGACAAAAATTCTGTGGAGGCCATAAAACAAGCTGAACAGGAAACAAAAGCTAAAATGGAAAAAGTGAGCGAAATCAAAAAGATTCAAGCACAGATAACTGCTCTAAAGAGCGAAATCAGCAAAAATGAGGATCAGTTGAAAGAATATCAGACGTATAAGAAGTTTTTGGAAGATCTAACACCCCCAGAATGGAAGACAGACAGACAAAAACGAAGAGCAGCCAGAAGAGCAGACCGCAAAAAGAAGAAGGCAGAAGAACGACCAACTCCCACTACACCATCCCAACCAACATCCTCAGCTAAACGAACCTCAGTATCTAAGGGAACCCCCAGAGGTTCCCTCGGAGGAAAGAGGAAACAGTCAGTCTTACCCGGTGATGCAGAAAGTCTAGTTTCCGCTACCTCAGCAGAGGTTGCCCCTGCTGAGAGTGATTATGAGAGCGATGACAGTTGCGAACTTTTCTTCGCAGATCCTCAGCAACTCCTCAACATATTTGCCGAGCTCGAAGAACAGAATCTCTCGTTGATCCAAAACAGTCAGGAAACAGAAGAAGCTTTGGACGAGATGAAACAAACAATCGAGACAACTAAAGCCAAGATGAACAAGGAGACTGAAGTTTTAAAAGCACAGATTTCCTCTCTTGAAAGTCAGATAACAGCAGAGGAGGAGAAATCGAAAGAGTTGGAACACAAGAGTAAGATGTTCAGTTATGGTCATTATGAGGGCGACGGACAAGAGAAGATGTTGGAGCTGTTGAACGAAAAGGTCGAGGAAGTCTATAGGAGTTGTATTGGTGACAACGAAGCTAACATTTCAACTCTCCAAATGTTAACAAATATTGAGAACAGGCTGGAGGAACTGTTCGAGCATATTGAGATGATGCCTCAGGAGAAGGTAGAACTGGCCGAGAAGGCTAAAGAGAAAGAAAGGAGGTTGAAATTACGAGAAGAAAAGCGAGAACAACAGCGACTGCACCAAGAGGAGAGGGTAAGGAAAGCTCTGGAACGTGCAAAAGCTGATCCTAAAGTTCAAACTGGCAAACGGCTAGTGTTCAGATCCAAGCCTCCAGAGGTCCAGAAAAAGAAGACTGATGTAGTGGACAAGAAAAACGAAGAGGACGAAGAGTTAGCGTACTACTTTTCTTAGATCTTTCATTGCAAATAAAGAATCGATTACACGGTGGCTGCGAGCCTTGATTTGACTTTATTCAGAACATTTATGGGTCCACGTATGAAGAGAGGGAGAGGTATGATTTTTATGATGTCAACAACAAATATATGTTCTATAATCATCACCGCCCGGCGCCCATTAATTTTGATAAAAGCAGAATGATCAGAATTTGTTTTAAAACGTAAGCACAACGCTCACGTGATTTTATTTCAAATGCATTTAATACATATTTTGATCACATGCACATGTCAGATGTATCATAAGAGCTTATATCTTTTTATCAGAGTATTGAATGTAGATAATCATTGTATAAATCATGTATGTACATAACAAAACAATGTTGATGATGACTTGATTTGATTTTGCGAAAAAGTTTAGTCTTAGAAAAAAAAACAGTTTACTATATACTGTTCAATGAAAGTATGAATCAGCTGCACTGATTACATCTACCTTACTCGGGATTATTATGACCGGGATAAAGTGGCGGGTTAAGGGTAATTTCGCCATATTTTTCCCGAACCACATTTTCACCGGTCGTTAATAAACCCGCCGTCTCAGCTTTTAGGGTTCCAAGGGGTATGGGTGCTCATATTTTAATCGTTGTCTTATATTCACTAAAGAAGACTATTGGGACACTTGTTGTAGGTTTATTGACTTCATTTGGCTGAAATTGCAAAAAATTCACATTTTTTCCCAATTCTTGTTGTTGTCATATATCCTTATTGTCAAAGTTGATTTAAATAGGCCAATTTTTAATTTCTTAGGTATTGACTATCTCTACATAATGAAATAGGACTCAAAGTAAAAGTAACAGTTAAATTAAAACTTGAATTAATTAGAACTGTCAATAACATGAATCAGTTTCATCAGTGATCAGTCATTTATTCATAATTCTAAACAATGTGAACGATGCATTCTTTCGAAGATTTTCTACAAATTGAGTCATAATGGTTATTTGATAATTCGACTTGTTTCACAAGTTTTAGCAATGCGAAAATTTCTAAACTTGCTTATCTCTAATAAGGAAATTTACATCTGAGACAAAATTTTTGAATCTAAAATTGAAAGGTTGGACACCGGTAAAATGGCGACCGGGAAAATGTGGTGGGTTTTGAGCAATTTCGCCATATTTTTCCCGAACCATATTTTAACCGGTCGTTAATAAACCCGTCGTAATAATCCCGAGTAAGGTATAAAACTGAAACTTTAAATCTTCCATTCAACACCTTAATCCTCGTAAGAGTTTGTAATTTACTTGTGCACTAGTCTCACCTTAACCGTTACCATCCACTAGTAATAATGGAGACGGAACATGTTGGAAAACTGAGTATTGTGGAGGGCGAGGAACATGATGATCTCTGTACTACACTTGTTCTACACGGAGAGGACCACACTATGGGTAAGCGTTTGTACGTAAATGGTGAAAATTTAGTGAATACTGTGTATTATACTGATCTTACATAACCATCCGCTCATCACAAAATATCACTAACGTGCAAATCCATTGGTGGGGCGTTTGATATACATCACCCTGACATTGCTTTGTCAACGTCGCGTCGTTTGATCGCCCCCGGCCCCCCCCCCCCCCCCCCCCCTCTTTCTATTCATAGGTCAATCAGCAATTAAGGGGGCAGGGGGGGTCATCATAGAAATTTTCTCAAAAAAACTTGATTTTCAGTACACGCGATCAAAAATCGCTTGCGCAATACAATTACACACAAGTGCTGACCTTTGACGGGCGATAATTTCGGCTAGGAATAATATTTTTCTATGGAATCAAAAGCAGCTGATAGATATCACTCCCCTTTATTAGAAGCAACTAAAAAGTCGATTTGAGAAAATTTCCATGAAGACCCCCCCCCCCCGCCCCCTTAACTGTCTCTCTCCTGCTAGGTAACGTAGTGCGGCACATGCTGATAAAAAACCCAGCTGTAGAGTTTGCAGGGTACAGTGTACCGCACCCCTCCGAGAACAAGATCAACCTCCGGATCCAAACCTACAACACCCCCTGTTTATCAGCGCTGTACACGGCCCTGGATGATATCACTGACGTATGTGATCACGTGCTGGAGACGATTGATAAGGCCGAGGAGAAGTTCCAGGGATAGTGTGCAGACAATGATGTATTTTTTAACTTTATTGTGATCTGTTTTTAAGAGGGAATAAGTTTTATCTATTGGATTTGCTGACATTTTATATTTTAATTATTTGACGAATCTTTTAAACTTTTTCTTTGGAAAAACTGACCCTGTTTTATTGTCGTCGAGTTGAATAATGAATATCCATGAAATTTTCTCTGTGATAAAACACTTATCACTGTGCTAATAGTATGACTCTGATGCACATTGCACCTCACCATTACACAAGATCCTAACTTGTAACACTTCATATTATAACCTGCTTACTTTTAATAGGGGTGCAAGTTGAATGGCAGCCTCAGACTCGGCCTTGTTGGTGAGTTATTTTAATTGTTGCGGCAATTCCTGAGTCTTGTTTTATATTATTCATAATCACTTCTCTACGTTTTTTATCATTTGATTAATTTGAGATATAAATAACATAATTTTCAGTCAAAATTGTTTTACTATGGCCGAGAGAAGCTGTATAACACGATACAGAACACGATAGTGGAAGTTAAAGAGAAATATGGCAGTGACCCTGTTCTGTCATTCTTTGATGGCGTTTCTCTCCTCATGCAAGGTATTATGTCAGTTCAATTATGATTTTCTCAAGTAAAATGCTAACCAAAGCTTATCAGGTGTAATAAAGATCAGTGACATTTTTTAACATCGACCTCTTCCTGTCAGATCACATTCCTGAAGCAATGCGAGAGCTTTCATCGATAGGTGATCACAGGGACCTGGTCATTGCTGCTTCCTTCGCACTAATCATGGCCCACAGAAAAGCTAGAATCATTGGTTTGTCTTTTGAAATGCTATTTTTAACTCCAATGTTTTAATACTGTTCATTAATATATTATCAATTTGTGGTTATTTCTGGATTTTCTACCGATAAAACTGTTAATTCCGTTTCCATTCAGATAAAGAAGCAGTGTCTGAGCTAGAAACCCGGATAAAACATGAACGGTCCACTGCCGGGGAGAAGAATCTATATTTTGCTGGGTTGTTTCTTGTACTGTGTGGCCGTCCTGATAAAGGCAGAGATTACTTCAACAGACTGCTCAAAATAACGAACGGGAAAAATTTGGACGTAAGTTGGGCGCCAAATACTGGTGTCTTCGGTTACTTTGTAATTTATGTGTTCGTGGAAGACGCGCGTACTTTTGTCTGTATAATCGCAACGTTTTAATGAAAATGCTGCGCGCAAATTTGTTGTATCGCTATGACAACACGCGTTCGCGATTTGGAGATTGGCTGGCCTGTACGTACTGGGTGCATGCCAGTAGTATGCAACCAGACATGCATGTGGTGTGTTTTACAACAGGATGTTGTTCACTTTCTGTAAGATTTTAGCAATAATAATATGTCTCCTGCAGGGCATTGCCATGCTTGGTTGGTGTGAACTTCTCATGAAGAAAACTGGATACCAAAGCAAAGCTCTTAAATATTTAAAGAATGCACGGAGCTTCCAGGTGGATCAAAAGATATCAACACCCTTGTTGGTCTGGCTAAATGTCATGCAGCTCTCAAAAGATGGGACGATGCACTGGACAGTGTGAATCAAGCGGTTGTTCAGCATCCGAAGAACCTACCGTGCTTATTGGAAAAGATGAACGTATTGCTGGCTATTCAGGATTGGGAACAGGCTTATGAGACGAGCAATAGAATTCTTAAGGCTGATCCTAACTGTATCCAAGCGAAAGCAGTGACTGTACTGTATATGTTGTGTCTTGAGGGAAAGTACTCCGAGGTAAAGCCCGTAAAATTCATCTTGATTATGTAATTTTGATATTCGCATTTTGCAGTAACATATTTATATTTCTCAGTGATTTTAGTACGGCACATCTAATAATACTCTCTTTAGGTTGCTCAAAAACTTGGAGAGTTAGTTACCACAATGGATAGGTTTGAGCCGGCAGCTCATCAACTTTACCATCTCTACAGTGCTGCTTTTTCTCGTCTCGTAAGTGGAAAAACCTGATTCTACACATTTACCTGTTCTCTCTGGTGTTATGATCGGTTTCATCGACTACATATTCAATTATAACGGTAAATTTATCGTCTGGCACTCCCCTGGTTTGTATTATTCCGAACCTAATAATACCATAAACCTCTGCCAGTGTGGAAGGCACAACATGGTGCTACAACAGACGATAACTCTGCTAGAACGAGCCATGTCTATCAGTCATGACAACAGTCTTTACCACACTGAGATGGGAAATCAACTCATGATGCAGGTCAGCACTTTATTCTCATATATTTTATGTCCTTTTCTCAAAAAGCCCTAGCTGGTAAGTTCACGTTTTAAGTACATCTGGTTGCGATTTTTAAATGACTTGATACTAATTATAGGTATCTGTTAGATCATGACTTCTACATCTTAATATTCTCATTTCAGGGCAAAGTTGGTGAGGCCAAAAAGTGCTTCAAAAGAGCGTCTACAATCGACGAAAGTTCAATGTTGGCTTGTTTAGGTAATGAACTACTATTTTTACAAAAAGAATGCTGTTGTAATTACTGGAAAACAATACTCTAGCAGTATAGCAAACCAGGTATGACTTTAATTAGAGAATTTTAATTCAACAATCTTACCACGTTTTAATCATGAATGTGGTTTGATTCCACTAATATATAATCCACTACTGGAACTGAAAGTGTGTTGCCTTCTTCGATAACTGGAGATATAAAGTAGCAGATCCAGGGTTTATGAGTTGCCCAACGTTTTTCCTTTAAATTGTGCAACGAGGTTCTTCACTCCGGTTTTTTTCGGTTGTGCTGGATTTAAATACTTGTTCGTACGCTTATTATATCGAACTTTCCACAAATCTGAAGTAGTTAACAATAAAAATCCTTAAGATGCGATAAGTATACAACAAAGACCGGTAAAACATATTGAATGCAGCCGGATTAGAAATAGTTATGGGGTTGGTGGGACAACAGCATTTCACGATGCGCAATTTACAAGAAGGCTTTGAATAAAATATTCCATATAAACTACACGATCACCGATATGATGAAATGAACTGAATATATGATTGTTCGTACGCTCCATCTTACGAAATATTGTCTCCTTTCGATTGGTGATTGGTCGTAATAACCTTTCAAAACATCCAGATCCATGAATATGTTTTGAATCACAAAGTTGAATTGGATCACCAAGTTATTAAATGCAGGCACAGTGGCTTTTATCCTTTGATACTCTATTCATCCTTTGATACTCTATTAGTTCAACAATTAACTTTGGAGTAATCGACATCATTTGTTATGTTGAATGCTTAAGTTATTCGACATTTATACCTTTTGTGACTGGAAAAATTTAGTAGCTCGAAAATTCTTCTAGGTGAACCGTTTGTCAAATGTAAGACAGTTACAATCAACCATAATCTGCAGGGTAAAACTTTGCGCTAGTCACTTCTTTTATTACGAATAGATACATTGAACAATGTGAATTACATATGACATGGCTAGCACACAGTTGCAATGGTATTACATATGACATGGCTAGCTCACAGTTACAATGGTAAACTATCCAAATCCGATTCCATATTCCATACTTGAAAGTATGAACATATTGTCATATTGTCATTGTTTACAAAACGGTAATTGTCACTAACTAAGCAACACACCCAATGACGTATTATGACGTATTATCAAGGAAACGGAAATGCACATTCATGGGCTTCAAAACAATTGTTTTGGTGGATACTTGTGCTATCATTGTTGTCCATGAGTTCAATTGTTGACCTTTTTCATCGCTTCCCTTCCCTTCCAAATCCGAGTTATATTAGATACGTGTTTAAGTGTGCATAAACAAGGCGTAAAGTGACTAAACTGTATTAATAAGCTGTGTATATTGTGATTGTACATATTTTATATAAATAACGCATGTATTATGCAGTATGCACTGCTGTATGCCTCGTCTTAAGTCTAAACATGCATGTTTAGAAATTAATATTTCTACGGAAGACGTTTGAAGAAGGGAAGGGAAGCGGCTCAATTTTAATTTAGACTTTTCTAAATACGGTCTACAATAAGGAACGACAGCAACATGTTTGAGTAATCGTAAAAAGTGCACATGAACTTTTAATGAGTTAAGATTTCCGTTATTTTCCGGTGTTCATTTCTCACTGAACTTTCAGAGCTACAAAAAGGGAAAAATCAATGGTTGCCTGGGGAGCGGGGGCAAATTAATTGTTCCTAAAACAATAATAAGGGCTAAAAACATAAAAATCATATCGTTATTACACCACACACAAAGCCGCTACCGATCACGTGTTTAATTACACGACCAGAGCAGCAAAAGTCCCTGACCCAGCAGCCAACCTCACACTGCCGTGCTGCTGTTATAATTTGAACTGTCAATCTTCTTGCTTTCTGCCATCTGTCTTCGTAACTCTATCCTGTTCTCTTTCTGAATATACGCGTGATACGTTCTCGTTACTTTGGATATGATAACCGTCATGGGCAGAGCTAGAACCAACATGCACGACATGATACAGAGGCTTCCAATGATTTTGCCTTGCCATGTTATAGGGTAGCAGTCACCATAGCCCACGCTGCTCATAGTCACCACCACCCACCAAGCGCTGCGCGGGATCGAGTCAAATGCGGCGTTGTAGTTTCCGTCCTTGTCCTCGATTCCCTCCACGTAGTGTATGAGGCTGCCGAAAAATATGATGGCAATCGACCAGAAGAAAATGAGAAAGAAGAGTTCACTTACGCTCGTTGAAAGCGCCAAAAAGATGATTTTGATGCCGTCGGAGTGGCGGGCAAGTCTTAATACTCTTACTACCCTCAAAACTCGCAGCACTACAAATATATGCGCTATTCCTCCTGGGAATATTAGTCCTATGTAGTAAGGGAGAATTGAAATGAAGTCCACCCAATTGAGCACGTTTTTTACAAAAATTATAAACTGAGGACACGCAAAAGCTCGCAGTATGAACTCTAGTGTGAAAAAAGCGATGCAGGTCGTTTCAATACAGAAGAAGACAAAATGTAGAAGAGTAGTTTCGTCGGACACCTTCTCCTCGATTTCTGGAATAGTTTCTACCATGAAGATTGTAACTGCCATTAGAATACAAACGATGGAGCAGTAAGACCAAATTCTTGCTCCGACTGAGGAATTCGATTTCTCAAGAAATGTCCTGAAAAGGCAATGTTAAATTTGTGATAAAATGATATTACATTCAGGACTTGTTTATGATTTCTTCATTTACAGAAGTTCGTGAGCTGCCTCATTTTTCTAACAGTTGAAATATTCGCTTTGCGGTGATGACTTTAGGCCTCTTTAGTCTTTAAGTATGGTTTATCCCCTCTAAATTTAATCTTACCAAACCATGTTGGCTTTCTTTGGTCGTGCATTCTCCTCTTCTCCCGACGACTCACCGGGCGTGTCATTCAGCTTCAGAAAGTATTTAGTCAGCCGGAAGAACTTTATCTGAAATTAGTTTGAACAGTTATGACTAGTCGGATCAGCTAAAGACCTGTTTGGTGAAGTTAGTGGTCGGAGGATGCCGACTCAAGAAAACGTTTGAATTGTGACGTCATTATCAGGTATTAACATGTTGACCAAAAAATAGCAAATGAGTGAAACTCCTTTCATTAATTTAAGACTTAAGGAAATGCTTAAGACGATTAACACAATTTATTTGATAGCTTCTGAAACAAGACCCTCTCGTATCAATTATATATTTCCATAATCCCCCTCCAGTTTTAAGGAATATGCCTCATCCATGCTGACAAGGTACATTAATTAAGGCGGGAAAATAAATTAGGCGGAAAAATAATCTAGACAGAAGAAAAAAAATAAAGGCAGAAAAAATAAATTAGGCGGAAAATAAAGTTTATCTATTCTCTTTTCACCTGACCACACATTCTTACCTCTTCCAAGAAGCGTTCCTCTGTGATACTAGGCGGGCAGTAGAGATGTCCATTGGTCTGATAGAAGTGTAGGATAGTGTAGAATATCTGAGGATCTGTGTCTATGATGTGCTCCCCGCTCTCTCTGTCATAGTACTCGCGCAACTCTTCGGAGCCCAACAGTGTGTCCTTGTACTTGTGTAGAGTACTTTGAAACACCTGAGTTAGTTGAAGGATCAATAAGAGGACCAAGTCTTAGAGGTAGCCTGTAAATATGGGTAAGTATTAAATTTAAGAAGGTTTTGAACTATAGAATACAGGTGGAATTGCTAAGTCACCGCTACGTTCGCGTTGTATCATGCATCAGCTATGTGGAGTGAGACAGTCTCATTTTCCAATATGTTACACCGAATTTGATTACCACACCGACATGATCATTTACTGCCAAATTAGTGTACAGTATACAATACCAATAGAGCATAATCTCTGTTCGGGGGAATTCACAGACAAGCGGATCGTTCGCATGATGAGCCTAATAGATATCTAACACAAAGGCACATCTACAACCCAGTTCATTAATGAATATTTAAGTAAGATCCAGGGTGTCAAATAGTGACTGAATTAACGTGCAATTTTCTCGCTGGGATAAATTGATCATAGAACAGTACAGTGGTGCAAATTTACATCGATTTTTTAGTTTTCCTACGGGGAGTTTGAATCAATCATTCAATCTTACCTCATAAAAATTACCCCGAACATTGAGAACCACAATGTTATGAGATCTCTGGCTGGGTTCAGTCCGGTAATCTTGAGAGATAATAGACTGCCTCCTGAATATTTTATCTCGCTGTTCCTTTAGCTGCTGCTTTGTGACTATCGACTGACGTCGGATCAAGATCATCCTAAGTTCGCATCATAATTCATGGATCCTATTCTGTGAACAGGAAACATGTTTAAAGATGTTATGCTAATAGAAGGACAACAGTTACAAAAGATAAATAATTATAATACTAACATCACTACGATAATATGATCATAATGCATAATAAACGAAACTTAGAGTAGCTCTTATTAACCGCGAATATTTCTGCGATTTGACGCGATTAAGACTGTCAATTCTACTTCCAACAAGGAATTTAAGATCCGATTACATTTTTAAAAACTTGATCAACTATCTCTCTCCTATAAAATAAACTTATTTAATAATAAGTCACATTCTTCACATCATGCCCGCGTGTGTTGATACCTAGAGCTAAACGGGCTGCTCTCTAATTAATACCGACACATGTGAGATCTTGGTCAGCCTTGTAAATACACTACCGTTTTGTGACAGCACACGACGCTGCCATTTTAAATGTGGCGGGCATAATTGCTGTCCGGGCTAGGTCGTGGCTTCTGCCAAATCATCCTTTTTTACTCCTGCAGAGACAAAATGACAGAGATAATTTGTGCCGCTCCACTAAGAAGGTGTATCTACTGATAGGGTTACCACACTTTGTTTTTATTGGTGGAAAACGCATTACAAGTACTGTATAAACTATAGTTTATAGAAGCTCAGAAAAATGTGTACGCTCTCACGAAAGATCTTCGTTAATTAAACAAATATTAAACTTAATTAAAATACATTGTCCAGGAATTTACCGATTCATTGTCTGGCTCATTCAGAAACAATGAGAGAAGTTTCTTTTCAAGGATCACTATTCCAGCGCAATGAAATCGAGGAAATATCGCAAAATATTCACAAGTTAATTAACACGTTAATTTGAAACTTCAGCGATTGAAACTAATTTGAGAGTTTCATTGTGTAGCTGAGACAAAAAATTAACAGAGAAATATGCAAAAATTCCAACAAACTAAAAGCTCAAGTACCCAAAAAGTAGAGAGAGTGAAAAGCTATAATTAGCAGCAAATTAAAACTAATAATATTGATGTCTCTAATCTATTCTATTGTACCTAGACGATTATTTTCAGCTACTAGGGCTATTCATGTTGATGATTTCATCTACTTAGGCTCCTGGATCGAGAGCACAGATAGGGAGATAAGGGTTGGAAAGGGAAAAGCATGGGGTGCCTTTCATAGACTGCAGGATATCTGGAAATCCAAACTCTCTAAGAGCCTTTAGATTAGACTGTTCATAATGGCTTGTGAGTCAGTACTGCTCTACGGATCAGAAACCTGGACACTGACAAAGGCCCCAGAGAAAAGTTTGGACGGGACATACACAAAGATGCTGCGTATGGTACCGGGTATCTCATGGAAGGACAAGGTCAGCAATATAACTTTGTATGGTAGGCTACCAAGGCTGTCAAACAAGTTACGAAGCAGGAGATTAAAAATGGCGGGGCACTGCATCAGACATCCTGAGCTTCTTGCCAGTGATTTAGTCTTATGGGAACCTATGCATGGTAGACAACAGCAAGGCCGAGCAAGACAAAGCTACTTGTCTATGTTACTGAAGGAAGTTGGGACAAACTCTAAAGAGGAACTGCGAACCCTGATGCGGGACAGGGAGATATGGAGGGGTTATCTGGCGTAGATCGGACTTAGTTCCGACATGGTAGTAATAATAGTAGGGCTATTCATCTGCTAAACTTCATCATCAAAGACTACTCGATGTAATTGTTCTGTTCAGTTGGAGTCAACATACTAAATGCCATTTCTAACCAACTGATACCCACAAAAGTATGTAAATATCAATATATAAATAAGGTCACACAGCTCTGAACGTTCGCTTTGTTTGCTAATAAAAACCGAGTCACAGTTATGGGCTGCTGTTGCCGGGGAACGACAGGTCCTAAGGCAAGCTGCTGCCGGAGGCTTACTATAAAAATATTGTGATTATCGGCGACCAATAATAATTATTATACTTGTGAAAATGTTCTACGGGTTTCGATCATGTTTGGAGGGCAAACGGAAGTGATAAAATGTGGGCAAATCGTAAACTTCCCAATGCATTAATATTTAATAACCATTTAAAGTTAATGGTTACTAATAAAGCAATGAAAGGCATTAGTTTGCCGGATTATTGGCGCACAGATTACAAATCAATCGCACAGAAAAATCGCACAGGATACACTTTTCAAAGGATTATTATCAGTGTTTAAATCACACAGAAAACAAAACCTAGGCTACATGTCCCGAGTATCTGCTGCTACATTTGAATGATGACAAAACAACATACTCACACGCCAGCTCCCATCCTCAACAACAAAAAGTCAGGCGACGAGACGCAGACTTACAGTGGGATACGTTAATAAGTTCTTCATTAATTCTTGAGGCAGCCACATTAGAAGATGCAGATCAATCTTTGTTGGCATTATTGTATATCATTTAGATCTTTAATTGTCGACCGCAGCATAACAATACCCCGACTTGACAGCGATAATATGTGCATAATTCGGGAGAAGCAGCAAAATTACAATATCATTCACGCCGGCCTGTGTGTGTGGACGTGTTGTCGATTGTCAGTCTCTTTTACGTGAACAAAACCCACGCCAGCCTGTCCCAGGTAACCTAAAAAACGAGTTCCGATCGTCCAGTTTTCCTTAGTTCCTAGGAAGTTTACGAAGACCAGGAGAAAGTTTGGCTGGCCCGCGTGGGAATAGTCGCGAGCGCGGGGGGAGAAGGGGTGGAGTCAGGTCATCTGAAGGCAAGTTGTTACTTTGATTATTAGCCTGAGATGGTTACTACTTCCTGTTGCAGCTACAAATTACAGCTGTAACAACAAGCCATGCTTTTGTAATTAACATAATATCGTACGTTCTAGTAACGACTAACCAATACCGCAACCAATACCGCAACCAGTACCACAACCAGTACCACAACCAATACCACAACCAGTTCCACAACCAATACCACAACCAATACCGCAACCAATACCACAACCAGTACCACAACCAGTACCACAACCAGTACCACAACCAATACCACAACCAATACCACAACCAATACCACAACCAATACCACAACCAATACCACAACCAGTACCACAACCAATGCCACAACCAATGACAATACTACAATCAATACCACAACCAATGCCACAACCAATGCCATCACCATGTAGTTGATATGCTGAAACCTTAGTTCCACCTTGCCGGCAGTATTTCGAAAGCTTTATTTGGTAACTTCTTTTATCAGGGCTATTAGAGAACCAGTAAACAACAATGATCTGCATTAGCCAATTTAATTAGATAATTGTAGTTTACAAGATGATCATATAATTACAGTATTTTGGAGTATCCGCCATCCGGACGTGAATGCCTTGATATAAAATATAGGAGCCTGGAATGCAACCAAGAGATATTTCAACCAATATTTGTAAAGCAGAATCAGGCAAAGAATTCTTAAAGCAGCCTTGCAGACGAGGAGTTGAGATATTGCGAGGGTCCCGATTCAAACATCATTCACCAAACAAAACTACTGTATATCGTTGCCTTACAAAATATATCAATATTCAAAGAATGACGTGTTTTAGCTTTGACGTGTTCTGTCTATTCATCCGTTTGTCTTTACAAATGGAGGAAAGTGCATAGTGTATCTACATTCTACAGTACACACAGATCTATACAGCGAAAGAAAGGCCCAGTAATAACCGCGACCGTACACTTGTGCAGCAAATTTAATGATCGTTGTTTTAAATTGCACTGCTGGACTGCTGGTAATCTCCTGATATAGATCAAATGATCGATGTGAAGGTTGCCTGTGAGGCACCAACGTTGTAAACTATGAGTGGTGCGTTCTACTCTAAGGCTAGCTCTGTTCGAAAATCGATACGTTGTGCTGCTGTGTAAACGTTTAAATATGGAGTTCCTAAATGCCAATTACGCTAAACTTTATATGAGTATACCGCCGTTAATATGTTCTTGTGTAATGTATCGAGAGTTTTTATTAGTTCGTGATATGTTCTTATTGCAGATATCCTGTATACGAGAGCAATAGCACATTGCACAAGACCGCAAAGATACTTATACTCTCCACTCGTTATAGACTCTAATGGTCCTGATATGGATATCTTAGGAAGCCATGCTCAATTTAAACACTTTAAAATTTAAATCTTTTCATATTGAATTAAACAAAATTAAATTAACTAAATTTAAAAGGGCCTTTTTTCTCGTGAACTTCAAACAAGTCACAAGATGAAATACCGACAATATGGCGCCCGTTATGATGCAGTGAGATGGGCATATGTAGAACCTTATTCAAATAGGAAGACAAGTTCCGGTGAACATCATGGCAGTGCAAATTAACAGCGTTGCAATCTTACTATACCGTATTCTATACAAGTAATCCAACTGAAAGTGAAAACAAGAGATGGTTAATTGGTAACCATATCTACATTAAAACAGAAAATTTGGTCCAATGTAGATCATTCGGCGTCCTGTAATTGGTCGGTTACTTAATAGCCATATGGCTGTTGTTGGAATTACCAAAGTAAAATAAGCATGAAATTAGAAACAGGAAGAATCGCGATTATTTGACTAGAACTGGCGTGACAGGATTGTAGTATATATACACACTCGCCTAATTGATTATACAGCTTTAGTATTCGACACATCGCACACTAATTATTATGAGCCAGATGCAGGTGATTATGTGCTCTTGATGCTGCCCGCGTGCACTTGCTGGAAGATAAACGGAAATCGTCACTATTTCCGGCTTATTTCACGGTTAACCAGGTGACAAGATGGGTGGAGTACCCCGCCCAGCCGCACAAAGTTAGTTTTTGGACTGTTCCACAGTCCACACGTATCTTAAAACATGGTTGTCTATTATTGAACCACCTTCAAAGCTTGCCGATGCACCGGGGTATCGCAATAAAACGTGATATTGGTAGCTTATGTTAGTTTGTAAGGCATCACGCATGCTCAATATTGGCGGCAAACCTTTCAAGCCTCCTATAATCATCGATGGTAAATACGTCAAAAAATCGCCTGTAAATACGCCGTATTCAAAAATTCTAAGAAATACGTGAAATAGGCAAAATTTGGCGCTTAAATTCTTTGATGGTAAAATTTCTCAAAATACGCGCGTATCTCTTTCGAAATACGTGATTACAGATTAGTGATATTTGCGCGTGCGTCGCTGGCCCAGTGGTATATTAATATAGCAATACTGACAGTCGTTTTGGAGACTTCACGGTGCTCGAATGAAAACGCTGCAGCGACTTGCTATTCTTATGCTGAACTGCAACCAATCAGTCGGTCTGCTGCAGAGCAGAGCTTTTCAGGTTATAAAGCAGTTATGCCTCCCTCGAGGAATAGACATTCAACCGAGACCCAGTTCCAGTGCATTTTTATCTATTACAATATTCGCAGACTAAGATCACAAGTCTCTCTTGCTTGAATTTTGAAACCGGTTACCGGATTAACACGGACTTCCCAGTGGCATAAGTTTAAAAAGTGACTAGGAATCCAGCCTGGAAAGAAAAAACGGCTATAATAAACTTTTAAAACGGCTATAATAAATTTTTCGGCCGGATGACGATTTCATTTCACCTTGCTAGTTATATTACAGAGGTATTTTTAGTTATTCATTAGTTATTCATAATTGCCAAAAAGTATGGGAAAAAATGATCCTATCCGAGTCTCGAACTCGCAATCTGCTGATATGGAGCTAGCGTATTAACCAATGAGGCCACGATTCCATAAACTGTAATGTAATATTCATATATAGATCTTCGCGCGTTACTGCAACTTAATTTGAAATACGTAATTTATCATCGGGAAATACGTATGCGTAGTACCTACGCGTAGTCTCCCCAAAACGCATTTACCATCCTTGCCTATAATGGTTCGCTAATATACCCTCCTCCTACTATGATAAGGTGAGTCTTACTGGGAGGGGCGGGAGGCAACGACCTAAAGTGGCATTTATGCCATTTTGGAATTTAAAATTTTGACAAACCAATATTTTACAGAGTTTTAGCCTTAAAGAACGATAGAAATTGGGTTCCCCCTGGCCTTTCTGTACATTTTCAAACAATTTTGTTCTTCAGATATCATAAACTTGGTGATAAAAGTTGTGTCTCGCCAAGCTGATTACATTTACGATCCTGTGAAAAGTATTTCAAAATAACGGATATTTTGGAAGTTATATGACCAGACTAGATACTAACAATTTCCCTTAAATTTAGCATCGTGCAAAATTCTACCCGATCATGCCAAAGTCTGATCATGCTTCTAGTAGCCTGGTGTGAGCTTCTAGTAGCCTGGTCAGTGGTCATGGTATGAGCTTTGATTTACTCAAAGGTTTTCCATTTTCTTCATAGAAATTTATGCCATTTTAAGTCTTGGCTCTGGCCCAAAATTCCACCCACAATAAAATTACAATAGGTATTTGGATCGATTTGTTTTTTAAATAAGCAGCGTCCAATTTACAAATGGTTGATCTATCATTTACTGTAGGTGAACTCAGAAGGATTCACCTTGAACTCAAATTACCTAGGCTTTTAACTGAAAACAGAGGAAGTGGCTCTTATATAATCTTCAAGATAATTTGAATTCTTGTTAATGCTGCGCTCTTACTCTGAAGTTGCAATTATTCCCTCTCTTAACAAAGAAAGCTGAAAATAAGATCAAGAACCCAAATATATATAATCCATGATTGAGCCGGTAGAGTGCGACATTCATCACAGAACATACAAAAACTACTGAAGATCGTGTTGGCAACCGCCGTCTAGAGAACGGGTGTATACAAAACAGAGAAAAAACAATTACTGATGAAGACATGTGTTGATAAAAGAACGACCTCAAAAGTCAAACTGTACAATGCTATACAATCAGACGGCGAGTCTGACAATGGACTATTCCGTTTGCATTTCAAAGCGAAAATTGTCATAACGATCTGCTGGATTCAATTAAATTTATGAATTTAAAATGACAAGTCATACAGTAACAGCGATGTCTAATCGATTGCAATTTGGTATAATTAAACTTAATATCAACGCAAATACTCATAAAATGTATATTATCTGTTGCAGACTTTCCTGATACAAAGTAGAAGATCGCACCATGCCATTGTGGGTCGAAATAAGCTGTCTCTTTTTTTACAAAATTATCAGAGATAATCATTACATCACTCTATTTTTTTTACAAGAAGACAGTAGGAACACATCATTATAGAAATTGATTTTTAAAACTGACTTATGACACAGGATTTTTATTAGTTGCTCTGATCTGTGCATGTTTTGTATTGTCCGCTCATAACCAATAGAATATATTATATATATGTTATAATCAATAGAGAATATAAATAAATGTAATGTCACGTTTCAGAATGTCTGGACGTAGGCTACAAATGATATTCCGTAAGGTTAACACACCAGTACTGTAGATCGAGCAGTCTGACAAATGAATGTAATAAAAAGAAGCAAGTGGAAACAATTGAAGACTGATTATGGGAGATGCTTGGAGAGGATTGACGCAATCTATTAATAACAAAAGGCGAAAGAACAATCAAACGAGACGAATCATTATGATTTATTGGGTTGGGAGAATCGATTTATTACGTTTATAGACAATGCCTCGGCTGTAATTTGTGATAGACCTACTCAGTGTACTGTCGATTATAGATACCAGACGGTGTGTCAGTTGGAGCCGTGTGGTGCCGTGGTGATGATGTTGTCAAATCTGCTGTATATACATTGTACATTATGTACACGTGTCAAGAGTAACAATCGAGCAATTACACTGGGTTCGTCTAGGGGTCAAGTCTTTCACAACATCGTGTTATGTTTTCATGGAAAAAGCATTTCTTGTGTGATCAGCATTGTATCGAATATCGGCGGCTGAGACGCACACTCACGCACAGTTCGATATCGTTGAGAAAAATAAGAAAATGGATGGGACTCGACCTAATAATGTGCCCTTTGGTACTCCATTGACAATATAGGCAAGATTTAAAGGTGTCATGGACACATTGGACAGCTAATACTTGATTACGGCATGTATTTAAAGTCGTAGGAAAAGATCCAATCCATTCATTACTTTCGCGTTAGTGAACAACGACAAAACGACATTACAGTTGAGCATAGCTAGGCTAGACAGTGTACAAAACAAAAGAGTTGAATTAAATCGATCAGAAAGAAAAATAACTAATATAATAGACACTAAATGATGTCATGGAAATTTAAGATAAACGGAAAATTAACAAAGATAAATATCAAAGATGAATATGGCAAATGTTTTGGCCGGAAAAAGCAAAAACCGGTAACATTTTCGGTTGACAATACAAGGTGAATGGCATATTAATTTCCTGTCAAAATGATCAGCGGCTAATTCATCTAAGGGTTTATGTTATTATTAATATTATGTCCAACACGACCGTCGACCATGATTTATTAACACTTTTGTAAATCAAATCTTATGTAAACATCTAGTGAACAGTTTTTAGTAGGGTACCCAAGTTTAAACTAAACCTCCGTCATAGCCTTTCTCTTGTCTCACTCGCTGTTTCTGGAGTTTGTCGAAATCTTTAAGTAGGTCGTAGCAAAGAGGAAGTCGTAAAACTCTTGAAGCTAAAACCTGAATCTGCTTCTATATAGTTAGAATGGTCTAGACAGAGGAATGTCATGCTACTAACTAGAATGAATATCGCCTCCTCAGCTAAGATCAGTCCTAACTCTAGGTGAAATCAGTCCGAATTTCAAGATGTTTAGTTCGTTTCTTTTTATGAGCTTCTAATTGGACACAATCATTAACAGGTGACCTTTTTCTTACGTCTAAGGGCTTATTTTCGAACAACCGTTGCGTCGGCGAAATTCAATTTCTAAAGGATAGAAATAAGGCAGTAGTACCTGACAGGGCAATGATCCAGCAAATGACAAGGATACATAGCAACAGGATAACAGCGTTTATAGAGACAGATCAGATATACGGTCCAAGTAGTAGTAATAACAACACAGACCACTGACAACCAGTTGCCATGTTACCCTAACAAAGTAATATCAGGAAGCTGCTGTGATCGGACCGATTACACTCCTCCGATCCATTGTTACCAACTACTACAAGCTTACAAGTATATTACTCCTCCTCCGACTACAAAGTACAAGTATTACTCATACTCATTATGACAGATGTGGACCTGCCTCTACGGAGCATGTCTGATAATACCTCGACCCACCTAAATTCTTGCTCATCACATTCCGAGAGACTTCGATGTACATTTCTGGATCACACAGTATGTGTGATCAAAGCCAGCTAGAGGAAGATAAGTGAGAGAAATACACCAGTCATTATATGGTGGTGTCATGTCTCACCGCACAAGTGGTGAGCTGATATAATGTGTCCTGATTATGCTGTCCTGACCGGGTGTATGACGCTACAGCGCCAATTATACAGCGCCATATTATCAGCTGGTTATGAGACATAATTAATGCATAATTATACAGACAAGCAAATGATTGTAACTTAATTAATGTCCTCAGGTGGTACAAGGTGTCTCCTGGCAGCTGGCTCGATTGAGGACGCTGCCTCTCAGCTGGACTTCCTTCACGAGATATCAGCTACCACCTCCCGGCCCGCTGAGCTTATGCTGCTGAGAGCTCAGGTGTCTGCTAAGCAAGGCGTTGGAGAGGCGGAAGTCTTAAAGCATCTCAACGATGCCATTGAGATCAGATCTTCTGAGTTGGAGGTCAGTTTTTTGCAGTTTAAATCCTCTAAATTTATATTTGCTTATTTGTAAACAGCTAATATTACTGTAAACAAGCTACTGGAAAACTTCAACCATAAGAGGCTATCACAGCGCCCTCACGCGCATGTATTACCCATTACATATAATTTATATAATTTAACAACGCTATCCCGCAGAATGAGGTGCCAGGATGCGAGTATTTTATTAAAATGGACCCTGACTTTCTTCTTCAGATTGTCGAGCTCTACTTGACTTATGCTCCCTCAGAGGTAAGACTTGAGCTGATGTTTTTACTGGTAGTCATTTGTCGATTGTGTGATTTAAAACCTTGGTTATGATTTGAGGCTTGGTGGTCCAGTGATCCAGTGGTTGCTTGGAAGGGCTTCTCAAGGTTGCGGGTTCGAGAAATGCTTGTGCGACTATTATATTTTATATTCAGTACACTAAGTTAGACTATTGACGTAGTGGACGGTTGAGCTGTCAAATCCAACGATAAGCACATTAATCAGTGACCTTTGGCACTTCAAACCGCCTCAAACCTCCGCTGATTTATTTATAATATGTTATTGTCAAGCAGCAGCTGCTGCATGTTTAGCATATTGATTTATTGTGCCGTAAAATTAATAATTGATTTATTAAACTAATGTTTAATTAAATAATTGTTTTACTATTCTCAATTTATCTAACATTGAACTCTAATATCTTACATGACCCTCAACATTTGTTCAGCCACAAGGAGCCGGCCAAGTTCCATCAGCAGCTTTGGGAGTTTGTTCCAATATTCTCTCCCCTGTCATTGCTGGGGCGCCTGGTATGCTCAGTGCAGTTTTCCTCCTCGCTAAAGTCAAATATCTCTCTGGTTAGTCGAAATTACTCTCGTAAAATTTCAAATCAAGCGTTCCATTTTACATCAGTCGGCTGAGTCTACCTCTTGAGCATTTTCAGTTTCCTCCTTGTATTCTTTCGCAGTGAACACGTTTTATTACATGTTTCCAAAGTCGATTAGTTCTCATGAGTCCATATATAGATTATTACTTGAAGATTTATGGCTCTGAAAATAATTTGCTGTCAATTTTGCTGAAAATAGGCCTCAGGCTCAAACGTATTAAAAACTGTTCCTTAGTGCTCCTTAGTGCTCCTTAGTGCACTTAAACTCTTGAGACAGCAATTACTGGCTAACTTTATAAAGGTTTCTTGTCGCCGATGCATGGTACAGCAGCCACGAGAAGGACATGTTATAGCCTACCTATTTTGAGACGTATTTATTGAATTTTGGAATTCGTTTAGCTCATGAATTTATTTAATGTAGTTGTTATAGAGATCAGCAAATTGAGATTTTGGGGATCTAAACTTTTTGCCGTTTCCCGCAGGTCAGAAAGACGGAGCTAAAGCGTTGTGTCAGGAATGCCTGAACCGCGACGTTTCGTACGGAGAAGCCCACCTCTTAATGGCACGGATATCACTAATAGAGGGCAACCACAGGCAAGCTGTTCAATCCCTCGAGATAGGCCTAAGTTACAACTTCGAGCTGATGGAGTCACCTGTGTACCACTATGTTCAGGCGTGTGTACAGAAGGAACGTGGAGATGATGAGACTTGTCTGAAGACTCTGAAACAGGCCCTGAAACTGTTCACCAAAGATAAGGGCAGCAGCACTGACAAGATTGCTGTGTACTTGGAACTGATCGAGGTGAACAAGAAACTTGGGTTCAATCACGAAGCTGCAAAGATAATGCAGGACGCTATTAACGAGTTCCAGAATACTCCTAACGAGATCAGGATAGCGATAGCAAACGCGGATTTGTCTGTAGCTAGAGGAGATTATGAGTCGGCGTTAGTGACCCTGAAGAAGATAGAACCTGACAAGCCGCACTACAATCAAGCCAGGAAGAAACTTGCTAACATCTACTTCAAACACCGCAAAGACAAGAAGATGTACATCAGCTGTTTTCAGGATCTGGTCGACCAAAATCCTTCCCCTGAAAACATCATCTTGCTAGGTGACGCTTACATGCAGATCATTCAGCCCGACAAAGCTATCAGTGTGTACGAGTCTGCTCTTAAGAAAAATCCTCGAGATGCGAAGTTAGCTAGTAAAATAGGCAAGGCATTCGTCAAGACACACAACTACAACAAGGCTATTAATTATTATGAGACAGCTCTAAAACAGACACCCACTTTCTCGGAACTAAGGTATGATCTAGCTGATTTGCTCATAAAACTCAAGTCTTTTGAGAAAGCTGAAAGAATTCTGAAAACAGCTCTTGAAGGTCTCGCTGCCAGATCTGATCTCCCGAGTTTGATAGAGGAGTCCAAATACTGTGAGTTATTAGGATCACTCGCCCAGAAGAGAGGTCAGCTTGCTGATGCACTGGACTTTCTCAAGAGGGCCGGCGAAGGAATGGACAAAGTCGTCAAGCGTGCATCCGTTGAGAACTCTGACAAAATTGATGAATTTAAGAAACACTTTGCTCGGCTAAGTATGAACATAGCGGAACATTACTGTGATGCCAGAGATTTCACCAAAGCCATGGAGTGTTACAGAGATGCCTTAGCGCAGGACCCTGACAACGTATCCGCATCACTGGCCCTAGCAAACCTTCACATCTCCACTGGTGAATTGGAGGAGTGTCAGAACATATGCTCCTTGCTCCTTCAGAAGAACCCTCAGGACGAACAGGCTATTGTAGTGCTCGCCAACGTGCTTTTCCAGCGAAGCCAACACACAGAAGCTATCCACCATTTCCAGCAGCTACTGAAGAAGAGACCAGACAACTTCACTGCACTGTCCACTCTTATCGACCTGCTCAGAAGAGCTGGGAAGGCCGAGGAAAGCACCAGATTCTTGGACATGGCTGAACGGTCCTCTGCTAAAATACCTCTGTCTCCAGGTTTTAACTACTGTAAAGGACTGCACGCCTGGTATGGTGGCAACTCTCACACCGCACTTAAGCACTTTAATCTGGCCCGCAAGGACTCGACCTGGGGCGAAAAGGCAGTGCTGGCCATGATCTGGATCTGTTTGAACCCCGACAACGACACGCTCGGGGGAGAGGTATTTGCTAACTCAGAACCTGAACGTTTGGTGGCGGAGCGCAAAGAGAATGATATGTTGTCAGTTAAAGCAGCTGAGAAGTTACTCCACGATCTGAGGCCCACCAACGCTCAGAGCGCGATGAAAGTTCGCATACTGGAGAATTACTGTCTGATAGCCACGCAGAGCAAGCAAAACGTGGAGCGCGCCCTGGATAGTTTTATGGAAGTGGTAGCCACACAGAGTGATCACGTGCCCGCCCTGCTCGGGTCTGCCATCGCTTTCATGATCCTCAAACAAGTTCCCAGGGCCCGGAATCAACTGAAACGTATAGCGAAAATGCAGTGGAATCCGATCGGTAAGATCTCAATGATCTGCCATGTAGTTCATGAATCATGATTTAAGTAAATCTTTTCCTGAAAATTAGATACATCGATTATTTCAATGTTTAAGTCGCTGACTGACCACTGTGTAGTTTGATAATAAGCGTAAATGAAGTATGCCTACTAAGGTAGGTTTACTTCATTTACACCTATTATCAAACTACTTCTGAGATAATATCACGTCTGGTACAGTATCGCTATAAACTGAGGCTCTGGAAATTGTTCAGTCTTAAACACATTTATTATTTTTATAAACTTTAATTCCAGATGCGGAGGAGTTTGAAAAAGCGTGGCTACTCCTGGCTGACATCTATATTATAAACAGTAAATACGATATGGCGCAGGATCTCCTGAAGAAGTGTATTCAACATAATCAGGTAAGCGAATGCCCGTTATACAACGCATCTAAACCCGTTATCTGGTATAGATTATGCACATTTTTATCGGCCCCCGATTTTTGAATGTAATGAATGCAAGTTGTTTAAATATATCCGCACCCACTGATAACGTTTGTTTCATCAGAATCGTTTTAACATCACAAAATCATCAAACTTTATGACAGAAATTGCAATTTTATCACTAACAATGACTGGCACCAGGCGTGTTTCAAAGCGTGGGAATATCACGGTTACGTGAACGAGAAAGAGGCGAGCTACAAGGATGCTGCTATTAACTACGAGAGGGCGTGGCAGTTCAGCAACTTCACCAACCCTACCATTGGTGAGTTTTACTTTGGCAATCTGCCAGGTCTTCAATTACAACGAACGACTGTTTTTCTGATTTCAGCCTCGTTTTATTATTTTTGTAATTATTTCTCGGTCTAGTTTTGGTTATTTGTGAGAATGTGCATGCGTCAAGTAAAAAGTACCTCTCCAATGGTCACTTCCCCATTTTAATTATTAAATTTTGTAATATTGATTATAGAAATTGAATTTCTTTGCAGGTTTCAAACTTGGATTCAACTATCTTAAAGCTAAACGATTCGTTGATGCTATCGATGTTTGCCACAAGGTTTGACGCCTATTTGATGACACTTTTAGCTATCAAATTATATTAACTAGTTCCTCATTTTTTGTACTTTTTTTTATAACTCTTTATTGTCCATATAATTGTATTTTTTATAATCCCTTTAGAGCCCACTTCTTTTTCAGGTGCTGAATCATCACCCAAATTACCCAAAGATCAGAAAAGAAATCCTTGAAAAAGCCAGAGCGAACATCAGAGTATGAGATATGTGCAGATTCTTCAGAAAATACCTTCCTCAGTATCAAATTGTCTGTTAACCGAACAGTGCCGCTCTCTTACCAGATCAGAAATATTTAACTTACTTTAGATTATTATTTCTTTCTTGACATAGTTTGATAGTGCTGGCATTATCAATCCATTTAATTTGGAACGGGTTCAGACTTCAGAAATCATAATTCATTGTGTGGAAATATCAGTGATTGGTGTCAATAATTTGTATAGTGTATATATATATTATTATATATGTAAAAAGCAGTGAATATCCAGATTGTTAATAAACAGTTATTTATTATAAATTTTTAAGATGGTGCCTGATATGCAACAGCCATTGGTTATGTTTCTAGAATGTAGAAGCGTCAATGGTTTTACTTTTACTGTAAATGTATTGGTACCCGAAGCAAGAAAAATCTGAACGTTTATTAAGTTGTATTTTTGCTATTTGTGTTGTTTGGTTTTATATCTCTCATATGAGTGTTTTAATCATCCCATGTAAAATTACGATGTGCTTATCTCTAACTTTTTAAAAGCTTTATCTGGTGAATTTTGATTCGATAATATTAAATCGATAATATTAATTCTTTGACCGTATAAAAATAATTAAGCGGTTATAGACCAGTTTCCTCGGGTGGTGCAGTTTGGGACAAGAGAATGTGGTCGCGCGCTACTGCAACTGCAAGCGAGAGGGCTCTGGTTAGGGCAAGACCACAGCTTGACGGCACACAACATATGAAAACACAATTATCATTATAATTTGTAACATAATAAAAATCCTATGATTCGAATAAATAAACTTGTTTAATTAAAGCAGCAGTCAACACTAATAGTAATGCAGAATACAAAAGTCTGATTAGCCGCTAACTTACCCAATATGCAATAAAGCACTCAGTTATCTCGATGTAAGTTGAGCAGGTCGTTAAGAGTCTCACTACTAAAGTGCCACGTTGTGTATAGTTCCTTTACCCGCCTATAATTCTATACTTTTCTGATCTAGCGACAACTTTGAACTTCTCTTCTAGATAGTTACTGGGCGGCACTCAGCATTTTCATTCTGCCGAATCTCTATTTATGAACATAATAGCCTGGGGTCCCCATACCAGTACACAGTAACTAGATAGTGATTAGTGACCATTGACCAATGTAGTGCTGAACAAGTATTGGTTGGTTAGTGTCACAGTTACAAGGATTTTGTAGGTTTACAACCTACCAGGACGCGCGCCGAGTTAGACTCGTCGACGGTCCTAATATATGGAACAAATATTTTACGAGTATCACCCGTTAACAAGGATTGGTTGGTTAGCTTCACAGTTACAAGGATTGGTTGGTTAGTTGTAAGTGTCACAGTTACAAGGATTGGTTTCTAAATTAAAACCATCCGAAGTGCAAAGTATAATTTAAATTGGGATTATCGTTTAAGTTTGTGGTTTGATCGACGCCTCTTTGAAGTAAGAGGCCAGAAACCGTTGACCAGAACAGAGAGAGAGAGAGGTTTGATTGACGATGTCAATCCTTCGCAGCTCGGCGTGGTTCAGTGGTGCATCACGCGGATCTAACGAAGTGGTTGCGAGAAACATTATTTGATGCGCAGCCCTGAGCCCAGTAGTTTGTGGTTTGTAGCTCAGTGCACAACTTACTGGGTCATTCACCTTGCCATGGCCCATGAGTCTACGCGTACTGCGTGACGCGCTTGTTTCACAAATAATATAGATATCCTGTGCCGCCTTCGGCAGTCTCGCGCTACTGCAAGCGAGAGGGCTCTGGATAGAGCAAACTGGGTCACGCTGCGCTTCAAAGACCATGCTTCTCGTTACCTAGGGACCCCAGGCTATTATGTTCATTAACATAGAATAGAGATTAGGCGGAATGACAGGCTGAGCGCGGCCCAGTCATGCTTCTCGCTACCACGATCATATCGTAGCACTACTGACTGATCGTCTAGGACGTAGCGCTACGAGCTGGGAAAGAGCAATCAAAGTTTTATTTAAGTCAAGCATCAATACAAGGCGCAGTTTGATGTTTATATCTCCTGCGAAAGCAAACTCCCAAATTGCGCGTGCTGTACGCTGTAGTAACTTTTTTAAACTTCATGAATCGAGATCAAATCTTTTGCAATGTATTATAAAAAATCAACATATGCACTTATTATATATAATCTAAGTAAACTATAGGTAAAAATATAATATTAATCATAAGCTAAAATGTACTAATCTTTGTATTCTAAATGGGGAAAAAGAAGAAACATTGTCAGTCAGTCGAGAAAATTGTCAGTCAGGCTATATGGCAGCTTGGAATATATTTCAAAGAGAATAACAAGCTCAAAAACGGGATTGGGGATAATGATTAATCACTCTACACTCGACTGTCACGTATGATGTTGTAGCGCGATGCGTTACTGTGCCGCGCCGCGCACTCAATGAGGCTTCTCACAGCGGCTAGATCGGCGAGATGCGCTACTGTGCCGCGCAGAGCTGCCATGAATTGACATTGTCAATTAACGTATGACGTATCTTTTTTAACACTTCCTCGAAGTGGCTCTGAATGACTTGCTATATCCAGATCCCTTGCACTTGCAGCGGCGCGAAAGCACTTGATTAGGTGAACTGAATGTCTATTCGAAACCCTAACCCTCTAATCTGATCCCAACCCTACATTGAATCAAATAGACGAAAATTTCGATTGTCAGTGCAGGGACCCCTTTCACTTTTAGAAACATTTTTGATTGGCGATGTCAACCCATCGAGATCGTTGCTGCAAAGCAAATCAACGATCGACGTTGACGGATGTTACTCGTCTAAATTTCTTCGAAGTAGCGCGCGCCGGGCCAAATCATTAACAATGGTCAACGATCGACGATGCAAAGCAAAAATGCTAGTTCGCACGGCGCGTCGAAGCGGCGAAGTCATCCAAACAAAATTGAAGCGAAAATTTGTAATATATTACCTGGGGCTATCATGTTCATAAACATTCCGCCGAATAAAGATTCGGCGGAATGACAGGCTGAGCGCGGCCCAGTAAAAAGTATATACACACTTTTTTGACACACGCCGCCTGGCGTACACGCTTTGAGAGGTATACAACGTGTAGCAAACAATTTCCCGTTCAATTTCAGTTGACTCATATCATACGTTAACTTTAATTGACGATGTCAATTCATCGCAGCTCGGTGCGGCAAAGTAGCGCATCTCGCCAATCTAGCGAGAAGACTCATTGAGTGCGAGAAGCCTCATTGAGTGCGCGGCGCGGCACATTAACGCATCGTGCTACAAACGTTGCTCTAACCAGGGCCCTCTCGCTTGCAGTAGCGCGCGACCGTATTCTACTTGTGAAACCGTATTCTACTTGTGAAACAAGCGCGTCACGCAGTACGCGTAGACACATGGCTATGTGAACTACAAACGTTAACTTAGTGCAAAATAAAGCAAGTTATAAATCTATTTCATACGTACGCGTATCAAATTCAAAATTGGATGTGCTTTCACGGGAGATATAGCACGGTCAATCAATTAGTCAATCAATAAGTCAATATGCATTATTAATTATTTTACATTTATACGGGTAAAATCTAAGTAATCTAAAATTTGGCAATTGTTAATGGACTATCACTAACTTGGCGCTACTTCGAAAACATTTTTTTATGATATCATTTTTCAATTTTATTGCCATTACAATGAATAATGATATCATAATAAAAATAAGTAGACATCCGATCATAAACTTGTTAGGTCCAGTACAACCTAAGATGTCGCCTGACTAACAATGTGGTGTATACATGGACACATCCTTAACATCTTAGATAGATGCTAAGAGTGATGGAAGACTCCCCAGCCTATTTGTAAATATTATTTGCTAGCTATTAATATTTTATGAATATTTGTGATGATCTTATGTATCATTACTTTACTTTACTTTACTTACTTTATTATGTTTTGATTCGATTTGATTTGATATGATTTTAACAAATAGTCTTCACAACCTCCGGAGGTATGGGACCGCTCTGCACAGTGTTTGTAGATCGTGTCTCTGAGATGATAGCTGACCACAAAAAAGAAGCCAAGAGCCAAGTCAAAAATCATATCAGAACACGATTCAGATTTGATCTGTTAAGAAGTACACTCATTGCACTGAGGGGAATCAGAGGAAGGTCAACAGCCCAGCATCTTGAACTGCAAGACGTATCCTTCAACCTCATTCCCCAGAAGACGAGCTTTGAGGTCTCCTAGATTTGTTTATGTAAATTTTGTAGATATTTTACTGTACTATTTTATATTGTATACAATTTTACGGACGAAATGATCCCAGGGGGGACTCCCAACCCACCGCTTCGGCGGGTAGTTGATGCACCGATCACAAGCAATAGCCACTTTGGTCAACTTGCTGTGAGGTGTCTCAGCTACATGGGTTGGGGGTCCCCCCTTTTTTTTTTTTTTTTTTTTTTTTTTTTTTAACAAATAGTATTACATTTTTGACGGCCCCAACGTTAATGTGGCTTTTGCTATGTGTTGGTTCAGCCGAATTAATTATTATGTAATCAAGTTTATTTTTCTCTTTTGGTTAGTTGTCATCCGGCCAAACATTAAGCAACTTATATTGCAGCACCATTTTTCAATTAGAATGTTAAAATATGTCATTGTAATTTTGCATGGCTGAAATGTAACGCTTGATTTGTATATATAATAATTAATTGAATTTTCAAATAAAATCAAAAAATCAGCCATTGAAAGCATGAACTAAAAAACCCTCACAGAGAGCAAAATTTTTACCAAACCCCTAAAGATATACTGGAGGGTTCTTAAATCTATTGTTAATTCTGCATAATATAAAAACTGCTGCTGCAATGATAATACTATGTGCAGAGCCCACTACAGCTACTATACAATGTATTGAAGGCTAGGGGTATCCTAAGAAGATTCCTGATCTTTTCTCATTGTCTTTTCTCAACTTCCAGCAATTGTCTAGAAACTTCCATTAACTTGATAAAATTGAGAACGAAAGCACTATTAATACAATCACAGGCTGCTGACTTAAAAGATACTTGGACTCCAAACAATTTTAAGTTACAGTAATTTAATTTAATTGCAGCGGCACATAATTTAAACTATTGCTATCATTATTGTACTACAGACTGAAAATATCTCAGATCGATTTTGGGCGTTTTTAACCACTTGTAGTTGTAATTCTTAAATATGAGATATCCTAATTTATAACTTTTTAATCAGAGTGAACTATTAATTGATATTTGATAATTTATTTATTTGATAGTTTAGTCTGATATTGATATTAATATTGATTATATTGATATTGTTATTATTGAATGAAGCCAACTCCAGACATAAATAAAACTACTTCTATTAACAAAGGGACTTGGAGTATAAACGACCAATTTTGCATTATTGTCTATCCAACCAAGAATTCAGGAGGCAAGGGTGGGTGCGTAAACTTTATGGTCTGCACTCTGCACTCTCAGATCCTGTATCACCCTGGATTCATTTCGACGTATTTTTGGTAAAAGTATACATATACTTTCTGGTCACTCTCTTGCTACTCCAAGTCCCCTAAGATATATGGTCTAAAGTTTGCACTAGTTATATTTATAAAATATGTTTTTGTCTGCTTTAACTGATACTAAATAAAATTGTTGTTTTCTTGAAATTGTTGTTTTCTTGACTATTACAGATAGAAAGATCCATTGCAAATGAGTTTAATATCTACTTCAATTTTATTGCCTCCACTCTGAGGAGATGTATTCAAACAATATATAGATATTATATGACCCTATATAAAAATAAAAATCTGAGTAAAAAACCCCTTTAAAAACTGGGGAACATTTACAAAAACCTTAACAGTAAAAGTAGCCATATGACAATCTACTGGCTCTAAATTTATATCTAAATATGCTATTTTAACTGCACTACCACTTTTATCCCTCTTTCTCCTCTAAGAGCAGTAATTGTTGTTCTCAATCAGTCAAATCTTATTCTTTTCCTGATAAATGTTATCGCCTCACTGTATCTTTGACCTGATCTTCTAGATAATTTATCAGCTAACTTCTTGAAGAAAGCATTAGCTTCTCTTCCCATTCCACCTGTTGTTGATAGGACTATTGGTGTGAATGTTCCATGTTCAACTTCAATGATCCTTTTGTTGTATGCGCTTTTCTTCTGTCTCTCATGGCTAGTGTAAATACTCGTTTGAGATCCAAGAGCCTTATTGGAAGAGCATGAAATACTCTTACATCTAAAAATGCTCTTACCGATGGGTTCCAAATAGTCTTAGCGAGTTTTTATCATTCGAAGACTACCTTGTATGCTGTCAAACAGTAATTTGCACCTAAGTTCACACCTAATAATTATAAATCAAAATTCAATTTGATGATAACCTTTAGACTTATCTTTAAATGTCTGACCTTCACTTACATTAATGTCCTATACTGATGTAGCAGGTAGCTAAAGGATTGTTACGGAAATAATTGAATTTGAAAACTGAATAGCTTGATGCCTTGGTCAGTAGTCACATCATTTTTTGCTGATCAGTGATTTATTTTTAGGCACTAATCGCAATGACAAAGGACTAATCACTTATCAGACTTTGCACGGCCACCATGTCAAAGTGAGTATTTCCTGTATTTGAAAGTATTTTCAATATTTGTATTTCTTCCAATTTAGCTTTGATTTTGTAAGTATGATCAGTTAACAAACATGATACCATTATGTAGAATAGTTTAATCTACTACTTACCAACATACTTTCTCAGAGCCCACACTCCTGGTCCTGCTATAAGAACTCCCAGTTCAACTCAGAAAACCCCTAAAAGAAGAAAATGTACAGATCCAGTTGAAGTCTCATGTAGGATAAGACCTGTGGCTGGTACCTCCTGCGTAGATCAGATTAATGATAATACTCTAAAGATAACAGCTCCTCCTGGTTCTCAGACATTTAAGAACAACCCAGTTTCGCTGTTTTACACATTCAACAGTATCTTTAATCAAGAGGAAGCACAAAAAGCATGTTTTGACAAATTAGCTTTGCCTCTTGTTGACGATTTGATAATGGGAAAGAATGGATTGTTGTTTGCGTATGGTGTAACTTGTTCCGGAAAAACACATACAATGATAGGGCAAGCCAATAATCCTGGTATCCTACCACGGTGTTTAGATGTAGTTTTCAATTCAATCGGAGAGAACCAAGCTAGACCATTTGTGAGTAATTTTTAGAAATATCATTTACATCAGTCTTTTTTTGTATATATTTTTCCATCTTGTTAGAATGCATATTTCTCATTGATTTCTCAAACACCAAAGTTGGAGATAATCCATACGATTGAGATTAAATATTTTTTTAGATACTTATGCTTCAAACAAACCATCCTCAGATATTTTTACCTGATGACAACAACGGTATGAAAATACAGCCCGAGTATCAAGCAGCTCTTATGAAGAATCAGAAGGAACGCCAAAAACGTCAAGAAGACAGATTACGAAAAAAAGAGGGCCGGCCAGAAACACCTGACTTGTCTAAATTAGATGAGATTAGAATACCAGATAGTACGAAGCTTGATTGTGTAAGTTCATTTTCATCGCTATTTTTGCTGCTTCGGTTATTGCTTTGAGAACACGCTTTCATCTCAAAGTAAATATATACTGTTTTGAGAGTAATCCTGGTGCATCTTAACCAATACACCCGACTATGAAGTAGTCGCTGTTTCAACTTAACTGATCTTGGAATATGATAGTTGATTTAAAATTCGAATATGTAATTTATTAATTTTAAAGTATTGTATTCTGAAGAAATTTACTAAAAAGTCAATACAATATAGGTCAATGAAGACAGTGCGTATGCTGTGTTTATCAGTTACATTGAAGTGTACAATAACTACATATTTGATCTACTGGAGGATGACCAAGTTAACGAGTATGGACATCCTGTCTTACCAGAGAGTAAGAAAGTCGGTGAAGACACAAAGTAAGCTGTAGATCAATTATAATATAATGTATCAGCAGTAATAACTAATACTGTATCAGTTTTAACGAATGAACAGCTAAATTATTTAACTTAATCTATACTAACTTTATGGACTACGTTATATAGGTTGATCAAAACGATGAAAAAACTACATTTTACGAATATTTTCTTCTGTGAATAAGTAATGAATTTTATTAATATTTTAATATTTTAACTTTTCCCGGGTATAAATTCAAATCCTATAACTCCAGAAACAAAGTGATGTATGCTAAAGATGTAGTAGAAATTGAGGTGAAGAGTACGGAGGAAGCATGTGCACAGCTGTGGAGGGGTCAAGAAAGAAGACGGAAGGCAGCAACTATCCTAAATGACAAATCCTCGCGTTCTCACAGCGTCTTTAATATCAGACTCGTACAGGTGGGACTTTCAATGGATTGCTCTTATAGATCATGTGTACAGGAGTTTATATTATGGAGATATCCCAGGTGTTGTGTACTGTCCTCTTGCTAAAATGTACGTGTTCTTCAGAGTACCCAGTTGCAGTAAGGCACATACGATCTCTTGTACACACTCCCGAACACACTCCCAGGTGTTGACAGGCTGCCCTAAAACCCCCTTATCAATTATCAGTCCCGGGTCTCTAACCAAACTGTAATCATCTGCTCCTACCCCACATCTATCGTTTCACCTAATACCCCCAATTTCGTGTAGTGAGCATATTATCATGTAATGGGACCCGTGAGAATGTGTGACTGTCACCCTTTGCTCGTGTTACTTCTCATTATTACTGTACTTAGTGTTGCTATGGCGATGTAGCACTCACGCTCCCCTCTATTTATTATGCTACGTTCAACAACCAAACTTTGTAATTAGCAAGATGTTGAAACGAATCTATCCTTTTGCCACTACTGCTCCATGGTAAACATCCAATCAGTCTTTAAAATCTGTAATTATGAAAATCCCGATAATAATGAACGATTCCCTCTCTCCAGGCACCATACGATGAGGAAGGGAAGCAGATCCTGTTAAACAAGGAGATGATAACAATCAGTCAGCTGTCCCTGGTTGATCTGGCTGGCTCTGAACGTGCCTCCAAAACTAACGTGAGTTTACTTTTAAAGATTTCATTAGCCCCAAGTTTTGCCACAATTTTGATGAAACCACCTTTTACTTTATGTTCTACTTATATAATATATTGATTGCTATTTTTGCTCTGTTCACGCGAAGTTACAGAAAAGTTACCTGACCGGGCTAAGCAAAATCAACTGTCTGCCAAAAGTGACTCGTTTGACCCTTTGTAATAATTATGTCTCATATTATCATGGTAAATTCTCCTGTCTGCAGGAGGGTGTTTTTGTTAGTTTAGTAGCCGGTATTTCATCTTAACTTCAGACCTGTCTTGTTTTCACCTCTTACTTCCTGTATACATATCTTTCTATGCAGTGTGCCATATTTTAACATAGTAATTAGTGTCTACCTGATTTAACTGATATGCCAAGAATAATAGGAGCTACTTTTACTAACGGCCGCGTTGGAAATCGTCCAATTTCGTCCTACACAAATAACCTTAGAATAGGAACACTGGTGGTTCCCCAGAATATGGAATATGGATCATGTGACCAACCATATCCCAGGCTAAAGGAAGTCAGCTGAAGGAAGCAGGTGGTATCAACAGTTCACTCATGACCTTGCACGCTTGTCTGGAGACCTTGAGAGCTAACCAACTTGCTGGTCGCAACATCAAGGTTTGTACCATTGTTCCTTATTTCTATTCATTTGCCCAGTTTCGTTACATCATTTATTTCTTATTTTCCCGCTCTTTCTTGGTGATGATTTTTGAAGGGTTCCTCCTTCAATTTTGGGACTCAAGAAAATGTGTAATGGTCTGTAACAATACACATTTAAGATTTTCATTAATCAGATTACCGTGTGTAACAATACACAAACATTACCAGGATTGATTTAATTTCCGTGATCAAAACTAGATACTAATACATTATTGTTATGTACGATCATTGCTAAAATTAATCAAATCATGTCAGACACCCAGGCTACCCACATTTTGGAATGTAACACATTATTCACGGTTTATAATATCGGTATATATCCTCAGATGGTGCCGTATCGGGAGAGCAAGATAACGCTGCTCTTCAAAAACTTCTTTGAAGGATCTGGCAAAGTGAAGATGGTCGTCTGTGTCAACCCTCGTTCCGAAGACTTTGACGAAACCTTGGTAAGTTGAGAACTGCGGTTTTAAAACCCCCTCAAAATAGCAGTGTGTTGACACTGTACCCCCACAAATAACACTAGTTTAACATTTCACGCGGTGCCATTACTCGCACCGTGTTAGTTCCAGTCTCCGCACATCACAGCAACCTGTCTGCAAATCTTCACCTCGTGAACGAGAAGGGCCCTGGCCCGTGGTCGTGTTAACATTAACACATCTCTCTCTCCCTGCAGCATGTGATGAAGTTTGCTGAGTTAACCCAGGACGTGCAAGTGCAGCGCGGACAAGAAGTGCAGTTTGATGATAATGTGCTACAGCCCGGCCGCAGAAAACAGAATCTGCTATATAAACGTGTTTCCGGCCAGGCTGAGCCTCTGTCTGACATCACTAACAATAATACCAGGAATACTTTCGGGTTTAACCTCCCTGCTGTTCCACCCGCTTTCAGCATGCCTCCCTTCCCTACTTGGACTGTAAGTTTTAGTTTTTACTCTCGTGTGTATTTAACATCGTCTTTTCGTGAAATTGATATAATCATTTAATTTCAAACTTCGATTTGATATCAGTGTCCCAAAATTCTTTATATATGTAAATTATTCATTTTTCAAATCAGATGGAGAGAAGTGAATTATTGTGCTCTTTAGATTTTTTTCACTCATTTCGTTTGACGATTTGTCAAATTTATGATCGTTTGTCCAACACATTTAAGATGTCACATTAACCCCACTTTATTATCATTAAATACTAATGTTAAGTGAATAATGAACCACCCCGAACGCGAAGCTAACATGTTCCCTTTTCAAGACCGGAGACGGTTCGTCAGAAGACAAGATCCAAGCTGTGCTGGCTGCACTTCACGAGAGACAGCAAATCAAGAAAGATGCTCTCTCTGACTTTGAAAAACGAAAACAACGCATGAGGGTATGCTATTAGTTTTAAATAAAAATTGATCAATTGCATATTATTAACTGATTTCCTTTATTTCTTGAATTGTGAACTATCATGGCAAAGCTACGTCGCATTTATTGTTAATTGCACTTTTACGTTTTGAATGGGGGATTTGCTTAAAACAAATTGAGCGGCAAATCTTAAACTACATCTGAGTCAATTATAACTTTATAACTACGCAATCAGACGCTTTTGTGTCTTATCTAATCTTTGCCTTGATTTTAAGTCCGTCAGATAGATAAGATAACTGGATAAATTGTGTATCAATTTAACTCAAAATGGTCTAGAAAGTTTCTTATCAATAAGATAATTTTATAAATTGCTTAGTCTGAAAAGAATTACAGCTTTGTCCCAAGGTTTCACAAATTTACTACAACTCAGCAGTCAGCGCTCTCTTTCTCTCTCTTTCGAGGCGACACTGTGTCTGCAAGTATTTGTTTACACAGGTACCTCTCCTACTAGTTAACTTCAGACATTACAAAGTTAACAACACTATAAGTTTCCTGTAAACTTGGCTGGTCTTTAACATAACACTTGCATGGTATTGAGGGGTGTGGGTCGTGGGACCTATAAAGGGCTCTTTTTACAGTCTTGACTAAATAAAACTGCTGTCATGATGACTTTTAATTTTAATTCGAGGAGTTTTGAAATAGTTCTTGTTTTCCTTGCACCATTCAATCCTTCAGAATTTCCAGCTATTGATGCAGATATCACCATTCACCAAGTTTAAGTTCGGTTTAATTTCAATTCTAGTGCCTCTGTAGTCTGTAACCCAGGGTAACCAAGAAATATTCTGAAAGGGCTCAATTTGTCCGTATTCTTATCTACAAAATACCTCTGAGGGTTAACTCGATTAAAACCAGTGAACACATCTAGTGTTCTCTTTCCTGCACAGATCAAGACATTCCCATTCATCACGTAATTGAATGGTTAATGGGTGATCTCGATCCTTTTGTAATGTTGTATGCAGAGAAAAATTCAAATTCTAACCTGCACCATCCGTCATTATATGATCATGTATAATTTTAAAATACAAATAAGTTAATAAGGTTCCAGCTTGGCTCCACGAGATAACTGCTTATCTTCTAATTTGTATTCCCCGCTGAGATTTAATAAAACAAGATGTATATTCCCGAGGGAGTATATGTCAACATCTGTTTAATATTATACCGGGCGTGCTGCTTCTGCAAATATGCTCTAAGTGTTGTAAACAAGTGTGAGCGGGCTGGTCTTGACAGGGTACTGTTAAAGTATTGAGGTGTTGAAATGTATGGCAAATATTTGGCATCTGCGAGCTGCCAAGTGCGAGCTGCTCGCAAAGTCTTCAGTTGGATTGTGTTTATTACAGTGTAAGGCCGCAGATCATTGCTACGCCTCCTTTGCAATTACGTTAAAGATCTAATTCACTAATTCTTTAGTGAATTTATTGAACGTACATTTTAAATAAGCGGAATGTATTTCAGGCGGCTTTGATACAGATGGAGAAGGAAAACGACGAGCTACTTTACAAGACTACCCAGGGATCTGACGAGATGAACGTTTTGAGAGAAGAAAATGAGCACATGAGAGTCCATCATTCTAAACTGGAGAAAGATTTTCTAAAACTTAAACGAGAGGTTTGATTTGTTTGGGAGAAACATTCTTCCTTCAGTAAACATCTCCGGTTTTATATCTGTCATACCCTCGCAATTGGATTGTTTTACTACTTTTCATAGCTCACTCTAAAAACAATTTAGTACAAGATTCAGTTAGTCAAACTAAATATTAAGAGTAATACGTCATACTAACCTGTAATAGAACTAATAATCTGTCAGTGTAAATAGTTTCTAAATTAAGTTTAACAAATTTACTCTCAGAACGACAAATTGAAGAAGCAAAATGCTCTTTATCTGTGCGAGAGAAAACAAGTTTTGGAAGAGAAGAAATTAACTGAGGAGAAAATCAAGAAGGAGATTGAGAGGAGGGAGAATATCAAGAAAACGTTTAAAGTGGTCGTCGGAAGGGAAAAGGAAAAATGGGAAAAGAATGCGGTAAGGCGCCATTTACATTAACAAGATGAATTGGGCTTCACTTTTCTTACATTAGTAAATTAGGTTCCCGTGAAAGTCCAAGTAACATAACCGTAATATTCCCCAGGAGCAAATGATACGGAGAGTAGATCTACGTGCAGCTCAACAAGAGTCCAAACTGCGCCAAGTCCTGGAGATAGTTGGCGGAGTAAGTGAAAATGGTCAGGGGTCCGCTGGGTCTGACCAGTCGTCCACAGACGACACTTCCTTGTCAGCCATCTCTAGAAACACTTCCGTTTAAGAATACTGACTCACAAATCGACTATTATCGTTTTAGTCCGGTGGAATCTAGATTCAATTAGCTAAGCTTTCTGAGACTAAGCGGTTAAGTACCAGATCATTTACTGAGTGATGTTTCTCGGAGTGCGGAAATAACCTTAATTCGAGAGAAAAAAGTAGAGAAGTGAGATGTAGATTTGAGGAGATAATGGCTCTTGAATATCGATATCTCGAAACGTTATCTCGTGACAATATCTTCGTGTAGTTACTCTTCGTGTAGTGCATATTTTAATCTGATCACTGATCAGTTGAGACATTGAGTTCATAATATACCTATGAAGCTCGGTAGAATAAAACAGCCTTATTCTACTTCATAAGGGATTTTTGATAAATTTTTGTTGAAAATCAGAGTATGATCAAAATGCAGAGCATGACTTCTCAGACAGTCAAAATGGAAACTTTGATGTATGTTTTATTTTCAGAAATAGACGTGTTGGGTTCACAAAATTGAATTATACGTATTTTACCATTGTACTGATTGAGACATCCCATGACAGCTACAGTAACCTCGTTCACTTCCCACCAGAACCCAGATTTGATGCAGGATTTACCGGCGATAGACCCCCCAGAGCTGAGCGACATCAACTTCCCCTCTTCCTCCGGCACCTCCTCCTCCTCTTCTGGCCCCAGTTCAGCGAGCAGCGCTACTGATCTCCCTAATCGTACCGACCAGTATGGGTACTCCCAGCCATTTGCAAATACTAAGAAATATCTAGATAGGCGAGGGAGAGTAATGCCAGACGGAGGAACCACCCCACAAAGTAGAGGAGAGTTCAGTACAGGTCTGCCCAGTAATTACGCTCCTTCTTCTAAAGCTCCCTCAGAAGTGCCATCTAGCAGGGCTTCCTCCTCTAAAACTGTATCTACAAAAAGTAATCCAACTAAACCTGTGAGAGGTCCTGCGGGTGGAATCAGAGTCCTTCCCCCTGGTCCTGTCCCAGCACTTTCTCCCATAAAAATCCCCAGAACTCCCGCCTCGCAAGCCTCTAAGAAGAGTACCACTCCACACGGTCCAGGCACTGCACCCAGATCAACGGTTCCTACTCCAGCACCCTCGATAAAACCTCACGTTTACAGCCCCGTTTTGACCAAAGGTTCGCGGACTGGAGCAAAACCTAAAGCAAAATCTCCTCACCAAACAATACCTTTACCTGGCAAAGAATGCCACATATCAGTCGATGATAAGCCTGATATTCCCTTAAAAGCAAAGATTCCTAAGAACATTGACGGCTCAAAGTGGTTAAATCATCGACCAATCGAAAATTTTGATGAAGGTAATGTTAAAATTTAAACTCATCCCCAACGAGGTTACAAAAATTTGGGATGTCTCAATCACATTTTACCTGATATTTTGTTGATCTTATTGCTTGTTTTTGGTGCTTGGGACTTCCTAAATTTTGGTAACCTGAAATAATTGTTTTGCTGTTGAAATTCAAAAAACATGTCGTCTGATCGCCGATGGTGATAAAATTTGGGAAGTCCTGGCCATTGTAAAGTCTTTGACTGTGAACCAAGCTACCATGTCAAAATTTTGTACATTTTGAAAATAAACAATTTCGGTAACCACTCTGTTTTATTGAATCTAAATTTCAAACAGCAAAATAGTTCAAGAATTATTGTGTATCAACAAAATAACTGATTCTTTAAAAATTGTATCGAAATAAACGTGACCTTATGGACCTTAGCTATCCTTACGATGGGTTTAATAATTTAATCGAATTTTCAGCAAGCGTTCTAAAACCCAATCTTGAAAAGAAGAGAACAGTCGCTATACCAGACGTAGATGATTTCGATGATCAGGTACGTGAACATCTGTTTAGATAACTGTGTATCCCTCCGGTATGTGTGTGTAATGTTGGTACGTAAGATGAAACTTCATTTAATGACAATGGATGGCTCTTCGGACATTCGAATAATCGAGCGTTCGAAATTGGCGCCCTATTTTGCAAAATTTCTTGATTATTTGCGTAGTGCTTAAATCGTCGTGAGCATTTTGTGACGCGCACGAAGTTACGTGCGAGAGGATGTGTAGAATTTAGCCATTATCAAATGTAACATAACATGCACAGTACACCGCACCCTCACCGATTTGTCGGGTAAAATTAGTGAAGACTGGGGGGTGATCAACTATCAAGGTTGAAAGTTTCAAGAGCATCTAAGCTTGAATTAGGTTGAAATGGAAACACGACGGCACCACATCAAAACAAGGACTGGTTATGAAGTCTCTCTTAATGTGCGCAATGTGATGTCTGTAATAGTGAATAGACGACTGTCTGGCAGTCCGCTCTACATCCAGTTTAGTTACAAATTCAGTCTGAGGCCGAATCTACATGCCACAACGTTACAATGTCAATATGTTTCGTGGACACATATTTAGCGGTAGCTTGATACTTACGGTGACTTGTGATCAACCAAAGTAGCACCGCCAGCACAGTGGGGTTCCCACAATCTGGCAGCTTTAGTCAGTGTCCTGTGATCTCTTAAATAACAAATCAATCTGTCCTGGTTCATTGAACTGCAAGCTCTTGCGACATCGTGATGAAAAGATCATAATATAGCTCATTAGTAATTAGTGAGGTTATTAAATAGTCTATTCGGTAGCGACGCTGATGTTTCAGGACTTCTAGATAAATATATTTTCATGAATTAACCTAAATGAAACGTTTTTGGTTGGTTGTTTTATACCCAATTGCAATGATTGGCTCGACTTAATTTGTCATTTTCAGACGAATCGGTATCTGCTGCAGCACCAAGAACAAGACTCCATTGGTGAAATCAGGACTCACTTTATAAAGGTAATAGTTCGACCTTAACCAGGGTCCTGGTTCAAAGTCCGGCATGGTTTTTGAGATTAGTAAGAAAGAATACCGATTGTTTTATGATAAAATGTATTTTTAAATCGTGCATTATAGTTACATTTCAACTAAAAGATTTGACCATGGTACACAATTGAATACTATACGAGTTTCTGACTCAGGGTGATATAAAAGTGTCAAGAGGTGGTGGACGCTGCGTGGAGTTTACTGATATAGAGACTTCTTCTGTTAAACCATCTGCCAAAGAAGCCTATGGAAAAGGATGCAATGTTTACCCGCCCCCTATTGCTGATTCTGGTGATTGGACCGACACTGAAACTAGGGTATGTTACCTTTTTTTTGGAAGAAGCCAACACTAACTTTCTACTTTTTTAGGGGTCACTTGTTACGTAATCGTTGAGGGGAAGGGTTTTTTTAATGATTATGCTAGTTTAATTTTAACACTAGCTATGAGTAAAACTGATATCGGAAGGGGGGCTTAATATTTGCCAGAAAGTGATTACGTAATATATGAAGTTGAACAACCCTGGGGGGGGGGGGGGGGCAACCATATTAAAGTATATTAAAGTATATCCCCGGGTCAAAATCGGAAAAAATCCTACATTTTAATATACTTTAATATACCTACAATTAGAAGATTTATATTCTTCGTTAAGATTTACATGATGAACTATATTTTTCACTCAGATTCGCAAGATAAGCCTGTTTTAGGACTAGTACATGAATTTCCACCCAGATTGGTCAAAAATTGGCTGAGCTATGAGCTTAAAAAATATGCCCATATTTGGGCATACGCTTTTGCCCAAATTCGCTTTTGCCCAAATTCGATGAAATTTCAATATTTTTTAATGAGACTAACTCTATGTGAAAGATATAACTCAGTGTTTGTTGAATATAGTGGATACTAAGTAAAAAGACCTCCATGAACAAAATTGGGAAAATTGCACATAATATCTCGGTTCGGAATACTAGCCAAAATGACTTCATTAAAATTGAAATAACTCCATCAGTTTTCAATATTTTTTCAAGAACTTTTTTGAATCGATTAAGAATTGCATGGGGGGGGGGGGGGGGGGGGGGGGGGGCCAATGGCATAAATGGAGAAAATGGAGAATTACTCATAGGTTTTTCCATTTTCTCCATAGAAATAGTCTCCATTTTATGCCATTTTATGCCATTGAAAACCTGAAAAATTTAGAATTTCGAGAAAAATTATTTTTAAAAAAGATATTTTCGGCCAATAATGAACAGGGTATCATGAAACATGGAGAAAAGTGGTTTTCAGAAAAACTTTGAAAAATGTTGACTTAGAAAATTTTCGGTCCGAGTCATTTTCGATACGTACCTCCCGTATCGAGAGCTCCCGATTCCGAGCTCTTGTTGCAAAGGGGAGGCCTGCCTTGCGAGATCGCATTATCTCGAGTCCAAAATTGTGTATCGAGGGGAAGGTGTGGACTTCGAAAAACCGAAAAAATATTTTCGGCAAATAATGAACAGGGTAGCATGAAACGTGGAGAAAAGCGGTTTTCAGAAAAAATTTGAAAAATTTTGACCGAAAAAATATTTTCGGCTTATAATGAACGTGGAGAAAAGTGTTTTTCAGAAAAACTTTGGAAAATTTTGACTTTTAATTTACCCCTCGGTACACAATTTTGGACTCGAGGCTTCCCCCTGGTAATGCGTTCTCGGAAGGCAGACCTCCCCTTTGCAACACGAGCTTGGAATCGGGAGCTCCCGATACGAGAGGTACGTATCGAGAATGACTCGGGCCGGAAATTTTCGAAGTCAAAATTTCTAAAAACCACTTTTCTCCACGTTTCATGCTACCCTCTTCATTATTAGCCGAAAATATTTTTTTGGTTTTTCGGTTTATCGAAGTCTGCACCTACCCCTCGATACACAAATTTGGACTCGAGGCTTCCCCTGGTAATGCGATCTCGGAAGGCAGGCCTCCCCTTTGCAGTGCGAGCTTGTTTCGACTTTCGAGGATGTAGGTCTCACTTCTCAGTGCCTATTACTCTCCCCTATTACTCACTCCTGCTGTAGCCTGTAGAAATAACTTTACACTAGGCTTAAGTAATTATGAGTTTGCCTGAAGTGTGCCTCTACTAACCTAGTATAAGCATCAAGTAGCCTACTATGAGCTTTCATTAGCTTGTTACGCCCCTAGTAAGCGTAAATAAACATGTTAGGATGTCCAATTTAGGTGTTAAATGGTGTTAAAGATGAAATTTCGAAGACAAAATTCATGGCATAAAATGGAGAAAATGGAGAATTACTCATGGGTTTTTCCATTTTCTCCATAGAAAAAGTCTCCATTTTATGCCATTTTATGCCATTTTATGCCATTGGCCCCCCCCCCCCCCCCCCCAATTGCATTTCAAGCTTATTTTGGGCAACAATTTTTGATGTAGGTATAGAAAACCGCGTTTCTTGGTATTTAGTGTATGCTAGTCAAGCTCTAGTCACGAAGCACGAACGGCAGGGCGTACCGTATAGTAGAAATGAAACGAGTATATTAAAAAGGATAATTAATTAAATGGAAAAGTAATACAAAGTGAACGTCAACAGATAAAACTTCTAAGTGTTCGCTCCAAACGATTGACGTGACTATAGATCACTCGACGTGTCTAATCACAAAAGATAGTGCTCAGTCAGACTGGCTATCGTCAATTCGAATCCCTTAAAATGATTAAGGGGCAACTAAGAAGTGAGCTCTCCACTTCCGGCTCTTCGGGTATACTCTCAAAACTTCGTCACGCCACACTGCGTGACAGCACAACGCATTTGCTTGTACCACGTGACACGCCGTCTCGCCAATGAGCACTCCACTAGCAGTCACGCTGTGGTCGCGAGGACCAACCACAGGCCTGGCTGTAAGTCAGGTGCAAAGTGAGCGGACGGCTCGTTTCAGACAGTTAGTCTGACAGTAGTTCTGCCAGCCAACCGACTTACACTCAAAATGTGTAACTCCCAAATACGAACATATAAAAACATTGGTTATTATATAATACCCGGAAACACATACTAAATTATACGTCCCGTAAACTTTATACTAAAACTAAGATATCCTAAAAGATATCTCTAAATACCATATTACAACATCTCTACCCAAAAATTTTTTTCGAATATTTTAAAACAATAAAATAATCGCCCTTTTCAAAATTTAAATTTCAATGCTTCCACGCATCAAAAGTCCAAAACTTAAAAATAGGTCAAGTTTCAAAATATAGTACACGGCCCTAACCCTGTGCATTAAATTTAAATCCTCAAAATCCTAAAGTTAAAACTGAAAATACTAAAATTAAAACTAAAATTGACTTCCAAAAATCTTTTAAAACTTTCCAATACTTCCTTTTCGCACCAAGTAGCAGAGTCCTTGGTGTTGAGTCTTCATCATTAGATAGAGCTGATCGAATCTCTAAATCGTCCTTGACAAGCAAACAAAGAAGTCAAAATAAAATCGAAAGTTTCTACGTTTCCGCCACTAAAGCAGCCCTGAGCGAGTCGTGTTGCGAGTAAAGATCCTAATATCCCTATCAGTACTGTTCTGAAAGATACACGTGTTATACCTAAGTAAGGTACTAAATCCCTGCTAAGTACTAAATGGAAAGTTCTAGCTAAGTGCGTAAGATATTACTGTACTGAGACTAGATTCCAAAGTAAGTGTACTCCCTGTCAGGGCTTCTTCCCGTCTTCTACTGGCTCAAATACCTCAAGAGATCCTTGACCACACTAACTTTCTCGTACCCCAAACGGTCGGGTTGTCTCCGCTCCTCAGGTCTCCTAGTGTTATATCTACGCTCCTCCCTCGGAGGGCTCTGTCTTCTTAGATCCACAGGGGAAAGCGATCCTGTTGTGTCAATGTCGTGCCCCACTGTATCATATGACATAGAACTGTTATGACCCATCGTTCCTTTACCAACAACTGGACTCGATGATCTTCTAGCGGCCGATCTCTCTCTAGCTGGAGTGAAGAATTCTGCAGAATTATCAACTGTTTCTACACTATCGCCTGAGGGAATGTTATGTGTGAGAGGTGTTACAGTACTAAAACTAGGATTAGTAGAATTCATATCTAGTTGTGCAGGACTATTCACAACCCTAGGAGTAGAACTTAAACTAGGTTGTTTATAAATGCTAGCTGCACTATCCTTCTCCAGACGAAACTTCTTCGGATGAACCTCTCTTCTCCTTGCTACAACTGGTGCTCTTCTCAGTTGAAAATCTGTCTCCTCTTCACTATCACTATCGGAATAGACTACATCTCGCCTTGATGAGTCCGTCTTTAACTCGGCTTCATTGCTAACAATTTTAGGCAATGTAAAGCTAGTCTCTAGTTTCTCAGAAAACTTGTTCCTGACATATCTCTTTAACTTTCCAATGTTAAACACCTTCTTCTCTCCATCAGGCAAATCTAAACAGTACAAGTGATCGTTTATCTTCTTAGAGATCTTATACGGGCCAACCCAACGAGGACCGAACTTGTGCTTTGGACAATTTATCAAAACAAAAGCTTCCTCACCTTCCTCAAAGAATGGTCCTTTAACGTGCTTATCGTGATATCTCTGTGCATAGCAAAAATCACGCTCAGCTTGGACCCTCACCTTCCTGGTGATAAACTTGAGATTCTTGTACAGCTCGTATGCTTCAACATCAAACTCATTCTCCTTCATAGGCTCTAGCTCGAAATCCTTACGATTCTCAGCTAGCAGGCTTAAAGGTGTGTTTAACTCACGACCAAATACCAACCTGTTGCTAGAATAACCTGTGTGCCGATTCCGCAACGAGTTAAGTACAAAGACTACTCTAGATAACCAAAGATCCCAGTCCTGGTATCGTCCTGGTGGTAAGCTGGTTCTCAGGGCAGTATTCAACCGACGGTTCGCTCTTTCAACTCTTCCAGTACTTCGAGAAACGTACGGTTGGCCATGAATGTATTTGCAATCTAGGGCTTGAGCTATGGTCTCGAAATAATTAGCTCTAAAACCTGGATGATTATCAGCCATCATGAATCTAGGCTGGCCAAAACGATCAATCCAAAACCTTCGAATCAATGACACGCTCTCCTTAGCTGTCTGGGTCTTAGTAGGAATAGCTACCACATAATTTGACCAACAATCAGTTATAGTCAAAATATATTTGTATCCTCTAGGTGTAGCACCAACCTTCTCAGGAACTATATGATCGAAACAAATTGCTGAGTTAAAAGAGTGGAACAATATGTGCTTGAGAGGTGCCTTATTGTATGCCTGAGGCGGCTTACTTGCTGCACACCTGCAACATGCTGCGATCCATAACTTGAAACATTCACCCATTTTCG